TTATTTATCTATCCTCATTATCAATTTGAAATAAACAGTCCAAATAAATAACAAATAGGTAGTAAGTCAATGTAATAAATTTTAAATCATTTTATGAGTCACTACCGTTTAATTGTAGCTTTTTAAAAATGCAATTAATCATTTCCTGCACAAAATTTTTAAAAGATTTCCTAGAACGCATACATACATTCTAAAATTGATTTTAAATCAATGCTCTTGAAAATTTTATGAGTTCGGGTACACGGAAATTCTACTGAATTGAACTTTCGTTAAGCAATTTGAATTTGTTACATAATACATCTACTAACGAAGACAAAACGATTACATGGATATGTATTAAAATTGCTTATAGATACCCAATTATTTAAAAAAAATCCTTCTAAATGATCAATTATTTGAAGAAAGTATTGCATAAGTTTGCCGCTTCCGGTTAACACACCGTCAATAACGACTAAGCATTTTATTGGAATTCTTATTTCAAAAACGCTTCGCCATGCTGACGATAACATGGATGAGTGGACGCGACTGTTTCCTTTCCTTTGAACCAAGAATTTAAGATTTCGTTTGAATTGCAATTTAACTTTCCTGAAAGGTAAACGTCGGAAATATTTATTAGTTTACGGCGAATTCACCGAGTTATTTGGCCGAATAAGAATATCCCTTTTGTTTAAAATAATGAAGTTGTTATACCTACATGACATGTTAAGAATTCTCGATTATTTGCCAATGAAAATTTAATAAGGATGTTATTAAAATAAACATTTAGACGATAAGGGATTTACATTTACTAAAATTAATTTGTTGTTAGTAGTTTTTCTACAATTAATTTTCGATTCTAATCCATTTGACAAAATAAATGTATCCATTATCTATTTTTATGCTATATCTAACTGTTTCGCACACACAGGAAACGATTTTCCATGTTCTGTGATCGGGAAAATGGCTGTGTCCTCACTCGTAACCCAGATAAATGGCTTTACATGAACTCTTTTAGATTTCCGCTTCAATAAATTACCTTAGGAAAATACCTACAACAGTTTATTCGATTTTCCACAATATAGTACTAGTATAGTGCATTGAAACTAGTTACGAGCCGTATATCAGTAGAACTTTAGAAAGTTCCTTGTGTATTTAATTATCTTCGTAACGTTGCTCGATTGGGAATTATTCTTAGTTTAGCATACTCATGACGTAAATTAATGAAATAAATTTTCTTGAAAATTTTAAACTTACATAAAAAATTTATCTGTATCTGTATAACTGTAACTTTTTGTTTCGTGAAAGAAAACAATTCGAAAAGTCCTTTTTAATTCGTAATATAAAGTTTATTTGCGTTTTATTACGGAAACAAAAGCAAGGATATTTTTAATTTCAAACAATAATAAAATTATGAGAGCTTGGAATAACAATAGAACTCTTTATTCGAAGTTTTTAAACGCTCTAAGCGGATATAGAACTTATAATACCTACCTACTTTTATTTTGATACCGGTGTGAAATAAATTACAAACTGAAATACGCTTAGAAGTAAGCACATTGGATCAAAACAAAGCATTATACGTTACACGGTTATTATTAAAGCTTCTATAGTATGTACGATAGCTTTATTTTGCAATTGCAAAAGTGCTAATTTACATTTCAGCACACAAAAACAACCTACATTAATTTTATCTGATAGCCCTTTCGTGAAACACCAGTATTACTGTCAGCTTAATTATATTTTTAATATGAAGAATAATAAACAATCATTGTTTTAGAGTTTAATGGATAAACTAGCAAAATTATGTTCTACGAAAATAAAATCATTTTTTAACAAATAAATTTTAGCAGTTTAATATAGAAAAATAAATCATATTGTTCCTCCTCGAGTATGGCTATGTGAAAGATAAATAAAAATACTTGCCTTGGAAACGCAAACTAGACAATGTGAGCATGTAAATTCCGGCCCTGATTATTCCGTGTCTTTGCTCGAAAAGCAGCTCAACTTCAGTTATTTATTTCCTTAGATTATAGGCCTCGATTTCGGAAGGGATTATAATCTCGTTGTTAATACGCCAATTTTGCTTTAGAAAAAAATTGCTCAGCTATACTTTCTTGGATGTCGTTAGGTATAATGGGTTTTAGTACGTAGGTCAGAGATTATTCGTCGTTGTGTAAAAAAATATAAAAACGAACAGGCTGTAGGCATTGATTTTTCTTATTTACTCTTACATTAAAATAATTTTCAATCAGATATCGACATTATAATAATGAAGGCAAACACTACTTGAATATTGAAAGATGAACACCGAAGGACCAATATGTGATAATTATTCTTCTACAACGTGATCAGAAATTGATAATATAATTAATAGAGGTAGTAATATTTTATCGTGTAAATGAGGAAATTATCCACTTAAATGCCTCAAAGAAAAATCCTGAAAAATAAATGAGTAGAAATTATAAGTCACTTTGAATACGTCGTAAATGTAGAATATCACAATCACCCGGCATTTAGATCGATTTCGCAACATTATCGTATGAATATTCAAATAATTCGGATTACTTAGCAATTCTAGCAAGAAATATCCGTAGATACTAAAAATCGATTCTCATTTGTAATATAGAACCTTTTACACTATCGAGCTGCTGCATAGCTTTGAACTGTTTCTTGTTGCAACCAAATAGCGCATTAGGAAAATCAGATAATGGAAAAACTACGAAGTTGAACACTCTTAAAAGAAAATTCCGAATGTATCTCTGTTTTTGAAAGGAAATAATCTTGGTTATAATAGAACCGTTGGATTTAAGAATAGGGTTTTTATTTTACAAGAAACAATCTAATTTCTAATCTTGCTAATGAATTTAGGAAATAATGTGTTGTAATTAAATTATATTTTTAAAATATAATAGTTATTTTTACCAGCTTAAATGGTGGTTATTTGCCTAAAATATTTGCTTAAAATTCTCTGTACGGATAAACGAACAAAATGAACCTTTCAGGCATGAGGCATTAGTTAGTTCAAAAAGATTAATTGAATTCAATTACATGAAAATTTTACCTTACATTAAACTCATCCCAATTTTATCTTGCCTACAAATTAGCCTGGTAAATGTTGATTCTGTTATATACAGTCGCTACAGATTCCTATATTTCACTAAAACGCATTCCTTTAATGTTTGTCTTCCATTAGAATCTTTTCAAGAACTCTACTTGAGGGTATTTTTAACATTAAAGCAAGAGTGTACATTAGAATATAGGGGAAAAGCAAGCACAAAGTACTTTTATATGTGGTAACGAAATGGTTATTATGAAACTAGTTTTTTATGTGTTGTGCTTATTTTTATATAATTTAGAAAAATACAGATAAAGACCCTATTTGATATATGCACACCGTATAAATCAATAAAGCTGGCCTCGGTCGAGTAAAAAAACCGCTTCGAAAATAAATCAAACGTCAAACGCGACTAATTGATCCATGTATCACGAAACTTAGTTCCCGATCGCGTTGTGAACGAAGGACGAAAGCAAAGGCAAAATCGGATACGCCGAAAACCGCGGATCTCTACGTCCTCGGGCCAGGCACCCTAATGCATTTATTTCGATCATCTCGCTTTTGTTCCAGATATCCCCGAGGGCGGTATCGGGCAGGTCGAAGTGGTCGGTTCACGAGTCGCCTTCCTGGAGGCGGAGAGCCTGGCCGGATGCCAAGTGCAAGCGCTCGTTTTGACCAACAATCAGCTGCAACATGTCGCGGACCGCGCCTTCAGGTGAGAATTATGCATTAGGTACTTTCAATTCGTTTTTGGTCTACTGTGTAAGAGAAACTATTCATCAGAAAATGCATAAATCCCTTTTGAGGGTATTTGGAAAGGAGTTCTTTTAGAGACCACGAGCCAGCAGAACTTGTAAAATGCTTCAGATAGTTGTTTCAGATACAGGGTGTCCCAAAATTCCGTGTACATAGAGCTACTGTATATTGGTGGGATCAAAATGAGGCACACGATGCACTTTGGATATAGATAATTTTGACTCAATTGACTTATTTTTATCCCACCAACACACAGTAGCTCTACATACACGGAATTTTGGGCACCCTCTACATGTAAATAAACAAATTTTCCACTAATCTAACATAAGCTAGTAGACGCTTACAAAGATAAAAAAGATACATAGATACAAGCTTGTAACACAAACCACAATCAATATTAACCGACATTTTATTGAAATTGTCAATAATATCACATTTTTGGTAAGTGTTAAACAATGGCAAATTTTTATGGTAATCCCTCGGCCGAACTTTTTAAAACATTATTTTTCGCATTCCTTCGTTAATTTGAATAAATAAATTATAATTTATTGTATGTATTGTGATATAGAAACAAAAAAATCTAGAATGTTAAGCCCAGTATATCTGCTATTTTATTATTACCTATATGTACACATATGTATACATAGTGTCATACATAAATGAGCATATACAAAGGTTCGGATAGAACACTAAGGGTAAAAACACACGAGTCGACGGGTCTTCTTCTTTTTATAATTTATTTAGTTCAGTATATGAATTAAAATGGCGGAAAGAAGGGAAATAGACTCCGAAAAATTATTTCTCGCCGTCCAAGAAAGACCTGCCCTCTTTGGGATTTTTTATATCTTCGAGCCAAAATAAAACAAGAGTCAATGTTACGATCCATCATATAGGATTAACGGTAGCCAATTGAACAATTTTTCTTATGCCGTCTCGACAATTGTCGACGAATTTAATGTGTGAATTGTTGGTTCGACTAAAGTCGACTCGTGTGTTCCTATACTTAGTATTAGTAATAGAAGTTTTATTATCACTTATCACCTTCCAAATTACAAAATATGCGTTATTTTAATTATAGTAATCGTTTTGTAAACGAAAATTCCCAAGATATATCAGCATATATGCATTAGTTTTATGGCAATTGTAAGACAATAATGGTATAATTTGAGAGGAATTACCTTTAAAAGTTTACTTGTAGACAAATATTATTCGTACATGATTATAACGTGTAAATAAGGTGCTGCATAGGTACATAACTAGAATATAATTTAAATAAAAAATTGTGCTAATTTAGTGCTCACTAAGGTACATTTCATGTGAAGTAAAACGTTAATAAACTTTCGATTTGGATTTGAGTAAACAATGGATAAACAAAATGAGAATAATCAAAACACAAAATCCCAATTATCTACCAGTAGAAAACCAGATACGCTATATTTATACATTTCTGTTATAACAGGTAAAGTAATTGATTAAAATTTAATATGAAACTATAACGCTCTCTAAATGTTTTAGCTCAATTAATATCTATTGCGTTTGGATCATCTATGGTGTGGACTTCACCTGTACTAGGAAAATTATATTCAAATGATACTGAAGTTAATCCCATAGGCAGACCCATAACAACTATAGAAGTATCAATGTTAGCTGCAATACCATCATTTACCAACATCCTTGGAATATTGGTTATGCCCAAAATTTCTGATATAATCGGCAGGAAGCGGTACTTACTCTATGGAGCATTTGTAATGCTGCTAGCAGGCGTTGGTTTAGCTTTTAGTAATAATGTGATATTAATGATAATTACAAGGTGTATTTTCGGTTTTCCCGCATCTGGAATGGTTGTATGTTTATATGTAGCTGAAGTGAGCGAGGATCACAATAGAGGAAAATTCGGTTGTTATTTCGGAATATTCCATCAAATCGGACATTTATTTGGGTTTGTGATAGGACCATTTTTCAGCGTGAAATATTTCACATTGATTGTAACTTCTCCTTTATTGATATTCCTTGTTATCTTTACGATGATGCCCGAAACACCAATGTATTTGTTGGCTAAAGGTAGAGAAGACGAATGCAAAATTGCTTTGAGGAAACTAAGAAGCAACAAGAGCGAGGAAGAAATAGAATCGAGTTTGGAAAAATTGAAAGAACACCAAAGGAAACCGAAAGAAGAAAAAGGAAAAATAACTGATTTGGTGAAAAAACGGGAGAGCATATTAGCTGTAATATTAGGTTTAATACCATTGCTAACTAAATACTGTTCAGGTGTTACTGTAATATTCACGTTTTTAGCACCATTTTTTGATAAGGCAGACACCAGCTTATCGGGAGACATAGTAGCAATTATTATAGCTGTTTTCAAAATAACATTTTTCCTCTTGACCTCTCTTGTAATAGAAAGATTTGGTCGAAGAAAAATGCTTGTTATATCTTCCACTAGTACCGCTATACCTTTGTTTCTACTAGGAATTTACTTTTACTTACAAAGTATCGATTCATCATTAATAGCATATCTTCAATGGATACCTCTAACATGTCTTATATTTGTAGTTTGTTTCTTCGGATTAGGTTTAGGCCCAATTCCACAACCATGGATATCAGAATTAGCATCGGATGAGCTCAGAGCGGTGACTTCTTCACTAGTGCATTCAATTGGCACTGCTGTATCTTTTGCATTAACATTTTTGTATCCCATAATATCGGAATTGGGTATCCAATGGTGCGTGTGGTGGTTCTGTTTGAATTGCATCGTTGGTTCGGCTTTAATGTATTTCTTTTTACCTGAAACTAAAGGAAGAAGTTTTGATGAAATACAGGAAATATTGAAAAATTATGATGGTTCGAAGAAAATTTGAGTATTTCTAAAAAGGAATGTCCATCTGAAAAATATTCTTTTGTTTAACATATGGTTTTATTAATATTTCTGACAGGTTGATAAAATATAAAATGGAATTTTATACTGTTAATTTTACTTTTAATTTATAAGGAACTGGGTTCAACCTAACAAACATTTGATGTAAATATAGGATTGCGTGCGGAATAAAAGTATTATCTGTTCATCCAGTAAGGACTACTATGGAATATGAATTGTGCCAATATGCTGATATACAAGTAATACAAATAATACTATAATAAATACTACAAATAATATTTATACACTAATGAAGAAGTAGGTACATTACTTATTAAATTTAAGCAGGTTTATTTTGGTACTTATACATTTGAGGCTCATTTGATACTGTGTTACATTATAGATATTGTTATTGTAAGGAAAGATAATACGCTTTAGACTTACGAAAACGGTAACATTGTTGGTTTTATTTTCTCGTGTAAATATTCTAAAGGTAATATTAGTTTAATAACCCTTTTGTTGAAAACTGTTTGCGAATACATAACTCATTAATTACTTTCATATCAAGAGCTTTTGCTCTAGCAATTTAATTCCATTTATTCATGAAAATAAATATTTCTTTAAAATTATCATAATTTAACAAAAGGCATAATTCGCTTGCTCGTGGCACCAAGAATAGATATTTTTCAATAAAGCATGTTTTATGTCAGGTGTTTACCTGATGTATTATTTCTATCCTTTCCAGTTCATCGTGGAAAAGCCTCACGTCTCTGGATCTGAGTTATAATCAACTAGACAGTGTGCCTTTCGTCGCACTCAAAGAATCCCGGAGTCTCCAATGGATTAATCTTCACGGGTAAGTTATTATAATGTGAGTACAAAAGCTCTGACAGGTACAAAATGTTGGTATATTTACCTACAAGTTTACGTGTCTTTACGAACATGCAGAAATTTTTATCTCAGCGTAAATACAAACAGTCATTTAATTACCAATGAACTTTACTCCTCATGAATAACAGTGTGAAGTTACCGAAAACATCAAAGTTTTTCTTTGATCGACGAAACAAGCTCATCTTCAAGAAGTCAGTTAGCGAGATATTAAACAAAACTCCAAAACAAAGCTGCTCATTAGGAACTTCGGAAGTAAGCATAATTAGCTTCCTAGTTTCAAACATTTCATTTTAGTTTTAAAGAAACGCTCATTTCGTAGAAAGTTCACGAAAGTGTTAATTAGTTTTCGAAAATTTAAAAACGTTGCATTTATTTTGTTTCATACCATTGACATCGATAATTTCGAAATTTTCAAATTATGCCTCATGAAATGATGTATACAAAAGAAGAAAATACAAACACCGATTCAGTTTTAGAAATTTTCCTGCATTAAAGTTTATGAGTAAAGAAGTTTTATTAATAATTTGCTGTTATTTTATCAAAAAATTATCTGGTGAAAAAGTTTAATTTTAGAGGAAAAATTTCTTTTAAAATTCATCATATTTTTTTCAGTGTTTTTTATAATTTAAGTTACGGTAAATATCATTAAAATACAGTTCAGTTGTTCTTTCAAATGCAAATAAAACAGGTCTGTATTTAGAGACCCGAAACAAATTTTATCTTAACGTGCCTCGAATACTTAGGCGTTCGAAGCCTTTTAAATAATTATTAAATCTTCATCCCTTTGATAGAAATTTAGGCAAACGCCTAAATAATATGCATTATTCATAGAATACGATTTTCTTGAAAGCTTACTTAAAGTTTCCACTCTATACAGCGAAGTTACGCTTGAGGTTAATTAGTTGTCGCGTTAAAAAGGTCAAAGGGACTTTCGTAATGGATTACGAGGTGCAATTTCTCAAAAAGTGAATGATAATTATATTAGTTTCATTTCGAAATAACCTCTACTTCGATTAAAATAGCGTATATTATAAACAAGTTTATTAAATTGCAAATATAATTGACAAACTTCTCCTTTGACAACATAAGCTCCGGTTCAATGGTTTTATTTTATTACGTACGGATAAAGAAGAATATTTTATCTGTTATTGTCCTTAAAATAATGCCTTCTCGTGAAAAACGTATAGAGGTCTCCTTTCTAGAACCTTTCTAAACCTAATTTGATTTTGATCTAATAGTACCTACATTGATTTAATTTACATTTGTACATAGTTCTGGCATTCTACTACAAAACACGTTAAAATGACAATTTTAATTACATTTGTTTAGGGGCACATATAAATATAGATGAGCCCATTCGGATACAATTGAATGAAAACTCGCGTCCGAACGGATTGTTCGTAGATAATTTATGAAACACAGCTTCAATATCAACAGCACGAAACCATAAATCCCCGAAGATGGCTTTATTCATTTCGCTCATAAATTGTTGAATATTATATACGTATTACAGAGCCCCGGCTTCCAGTCAACATCAATAATCAAGTAAACCGCTAACATACTCATCGTTGTGTTTTCGTTACGTTTTCGTAGGTCGCGTGGCGCCGGGCCCGTCCCGACGCAGCTTCAAACGATCCCGGTCGCAAACTCTGAAATATTCAAAATACGAAGGGAAGAGAAGGGTTCAATTATTAACAGCGCTTTTGTATGCTTCTCCTCTGCTCGTTGCGCTCATATATTTGCACTTAAACTTGTCGAGCTGAATTCGCTCCGAATATCATTAGTTTCCCTGCTCATGCCTATTTTCTACTTTCGCGTATCGTCGATTTTTAATTAATAAAATAATGCACTACGTGAGGGAGTAATGAATAATAAAATAATTATTGAGAGAGACATTATGCCTCTGTATTTTACGAAGGCATTTTATTCAGGTAAAGAGGACAAATACTACATAAAAAAATTGTGTTCAAAATAATCTGTTAAAACATTTAACAGTATTCAAGGTATGCAATGAGTAACATTATACGTACTGCAGCAAATCTATTGTAGTGCACATAATGTTTAAATTCTCCATAAATATTTTATATGAATTCATTAGATCCACATTGAACCACTATTCATTAATAATGAAAGTAATACAAGTCAGGGACTGATCATATCGTTAAAACGATTGTTTTAACTGCAGTTAAACGATGTTTTAATATCTACATAAAAGATGTTTCAATACCTACTACATACTGCATTAAATTATGACTTAAAAAAACCAAATAGTTTTGCAGGTTTTTGTCGAGCAAATGTTTCTTTTACAAAACACAAACTTTATTCAATTGCAGCACAGAAATCGTGGAATAATAGGATTAACTTCCGACTAAATTTAATATTACAACGCTATCTATAGTTAAAGAGAGATTAAAAGGGCTGTCTCTTTTAGACGCTCTCTTACCTTGCGCCTCTAGTTCTAATTGTGCACCGTAGGAGAATGAGAAGAGTATTAAACTTGATGAATGATTCCATCTAATTTAGTCTGTTCCTGGGAAATTCAATGCTGTAATAATTTGAGCTGTCGATATAGGGAATTCTGCTGAAGGCAATTACGAGTTCTATGAAACTTGCTATTTGCAGACTTCATACGTAAGATACAGTTCAGTAATGGGAATTAGAATGAACTCCATTACTATTACATCATTAACCGAACTAAATATGATTGATCATAAGATGTATTTCATGAAAAAAATGCTTCTTTAAATTGCTTGTTGGCATATAGAAAAAGTAATATTTTTCGTGTCTATTAGGAGAGTATTTTACTTTTCAAGATTCTTTTCAAGAAATGCTGAAAATCTTAGCAATCAGGACTTATCGGTCAATATGAAACGAACCCTGCAATTGACACGTTTAGAGCTAAGCTGCCTTCATCCAACTGCGAAAACTATATTTTTAGCGCTAATGGAACGACTTCTCTGTATTCCCGTTTATAATTTGTTATTTTTAAAACGATTGCTTAATGAGATAAACCTAAATGGCTTTTATATCCATTAAAATTTAGTTACACTACCGACAAATGTATTGATTTGTGCGAGATAATTATTTATAACGATGACATGAACAAAAATATGTCGTGATCTAGTGACGAAGAATTCGATATCAGTGTTAATAATAAATAATGCTAATTCAGGTTAACTCGAAATAAACCACTGAATAATAATTAATTACACGAAATCATCGATTATATTATTGTCACCTGAAAATTTTACAGTGCTTATCCGGCTGCAATTATAGACAGTTCTAATTTTATTACCATTCTCCAGATATGTATCCTCGTTGAATCCATTTTAAAAATCTAAAATAAATTTGAAACAAGCACTAATCATTTAATCTACTTTTATTGGTATTACATGATATTTGAAACTGCGTTCTAATTAATTCTTTATCTGGTCGACAATGTAAATTCAAGTGAATGTCAAGCCTAAATTAATTTGATTTAATTTTTTTACAGAAATAAAATCGCCTCGCTGGAAGGCGACTGGTCGCACATGGAGGGCACGGCAGCTACATTGTTCCTGGGCGAGAACGACATTATCGAAATTCCATCCGATTCGTTGGACCATGCGGCGAAGAATGCACGCGGTCTTCGTCAGTTTAAATCTCTAATTTGGCTCAACCTGGACGGTAACAGAATACACAAAATCCACAAGCATTCTCTGCCGCCTACGCTGCAAACAGCCAGTCTGTCGCATAATCTAATAGAAACCTTCCCTGCCGAATTGGTGGCCGCTTTGCCTCGATTGCAGTGGCTTTATTTGCGAGGAAATCACATAAAAAATTTACCGGAGTACACGTTTCCCAGGCGACAATGGATGGAGAAAATTGATCTCGGCGAGAACGTCTTGAAGTCTCTTCCAAAAATGCCCTTCAATAATAGCATATCGATAAGAGATATTAACCTGGCTTCGAACGATTTTAGAACGATTAATGCAGACAGTTTTAGCGGTCTCGAAACTAGGAGAATTATATTTTCGTATAATCTTTTGGAGAGTATGGACATAAGAGCGTTTAGTGGTATTGAGGATAAATTGGAATATTTAGATTTCGATCACAATAATTTGCAACATATTCCACAAGCTGTTAGCGATTTAAATTGTCTAAAATATTTATATCTTTCAGCCAATTTGCTTACAGAAATACCTGATAATTCTTTCGAGAATTTTTGCCATAGTCTGAAAGCTCTAAGTTTGAGTGGAAATCACTTATCGATTGTACCCCGTAGAGCGTTGAATAATTGTACTAAGATTTCCCATTTTAATATTGCATCTAATGAAATTAACGACGTAAATAAAGAGGATTTCGAATGGGGAACAAATATTAGATCCTTAAATATGGCTAATAATCATATAACGCATATTCATGCTAATATATTCGCGAATTTGCATAACCTGAAGGAGCTCAGTTTAAGTTTTAACCCAGTTCGTTACATAGACAAAGATGCATTTTCTGGATTAGAGGATTTAGAGAGTTTAGAATTATCGTTCAGTTTAAATCCTGATATTGAAATCAATGATATATTTACACCGTTAAAAAATTTACAATGGTTATCCTTAGATAATAATAACTTGCTGCATTTACCAGAAGATTTATTTAATCCCCTCGTCCAGCTGACTTATCTAAACATAGAATCAAATAAGTTGCATAATCTACCAAAGCATTTTTTTCAATTGAATTTGGAATTGAAAGAACTTCGTCTATCGTACAATGAATTGCGATTAATCGAATCTGGAACGTTCTCGCATTTACCGAATCTCGAAACTGTTACTTTACACGGTAATAAAATAAAACATATACAAAGAGAAAGTTTCACTTTTTTGCCTCGAATTAACGTAATTACGCTTTCCGATAATTACATCACCCATATAAGCCATGATGCATTCTCGAATACTCCCTCTCTAACAAAAATAAATTTGCAGAACAATTTTTTGAAAGAGGTATCCTTCAAGTTCTTCACTAATGTTACTAGTTCTATTTCGCTTAACTTAACCATGAACCGTATTTCATTTTGTACTTCCGACTCGAGAATATTAAATATGGAATCGCTCGATTTGAGTTTTAATAATTTAGAAAACATTCCGAAATGCCTGGAACATACGGCTTCATTGAAGAAATTAATTTTAGACTCGAATCTTGTTAGTTCCTTGGATCATAATTCATTCATGCATTTAACGTCGTTGGAAGAACTTAGATTGAAAAACAACCGAATTTCAGCTATAAGCAAGAAAGCGTTTTTCGGTTTACAGAATTTGCAGATACTCGATTTAACAAAAAATTCTATTAGGCAATTACATAGTAGCCAGTTTGTTAATATGCACAAGTTACGGATTTTAATATTGAAGGATAATCGTCTAAGTTATCTCCCTAGGGATATTTTCAGTAACACGCTGTTAGAAATGCTAGATTTGGGAATAAATTCTATTAGTGTAGTCCCTACGTCGAGCATTTCAGATGTCGGTTTGACCCTAAGGTATCTGTCTATGCGTTCTAATAATATAGATCATATAGACATTACGACATTTCCTGACATTGCATCATTACAACATCTGGATTTGAGTAATAATAAACTAACTATTCTCCCTGACAATGTATTCGCCAGTTTGGGGCTCTTACATTATCTTGATTTAAGTTTCAATCCCTTAAGATCTAATTTCAAGGAGCTTTTTCACTATGCACAAAGTTTAAAGACCCTTGATTTGTCGAACTCGTGGATAACTCATGCCCCTTATTTTCCATTACCTAATTTAGTTTATTTGAACTTGTCACATAATCTTATCGAAAGCGTAAATAAAAATTCGATACAGCAGTTGATTAAATTGAAGTCGTTGGATTTGAGTTATAACAGTTTGGATGGAATACCGACTCACTTATGGAGCCATTTGCCTAATTTAAAAATTCTGAATTTGTCCAACAACCCGATTAAAGTATTGCTCTCGGATAGTTTTTCCGGACTTCCGAACTTGCAGGAACTTGTATTGTTAAACTTGAAAAACCTGCAGAGATTCGATGGACTCGGAATTTCTCAACTCACTGTGTTATCTAAGCTAACAATGGAAACTTGGCCCAAACTCGACCATTTTTCCGACCAATTGTGCAATATGTTGTCTAATTCAAATCAATTAAGAATCCTCAAAATCCACTTCCACGAGAAGAAATTGGACGACCAACTACTGTGCGTAACAAACAGAAAAATTCGACTGTTAGAAATAACCGGTAAAAACTTGAAAACTGTAGATAAAGATGCGTTCGCCAGGTTCACCAGGAATCCAGATCTCGAACTCAAGATACACGGCACGCAAATAGAAGATTTACCGGCAGGAATATTCACGAACATGTACAGAATATCGTATTTGAGGATAGATTTAAGGTTCAATATGCTAACCCATTTAAGTCCGGATATATTTTATGGTAACACAACGGGTTGGAGGAATGTCGGAACAACTTTACTCTCTGGTAAATACAAAATATTTTTTAATTCTTATTTACTATACCTATTGTCCTTTCTATTTTACTGCACTTACCAAAACGTTTTTCCTTTTCATTTTTGCAGGCGGTCTTCTTCTGTCGCACAATCCCTTCCGTTGCAGCTGCCACTTAGCATGGCTGGGCCACTGGTTTCGACGATGGATAAGAGAAAGCGTTCAATCTCACAATGTCCCGGTGGAAACCGCCGTGAGAATGCAACAGATGATCAACGAAGCCACTTGCATAGATTCGTCCACCGGTAAAGCGATACCGATCGTGCATTTACCGCCAGAAGATATGAGTTGTCACGCGAGTGCTCTCAGTAAATCCCCTAAGTTAAAAAGCACATCATTGCTTTTTGTTAGTCTGATCCTTTATTTCGAAATTGTTAGGTAGTCTATGTACCTAATGTTTGATTAAATTGGGATTACGTTGATTTGTATTTTGTGTACAAGATGCTTTTATACTATATCTTTTGCATTGCAAACAAAACGTTATTTTTGTTCCATCATCTTCTTGATTTTTACAATTCTGTATATAAATCAACAACTGCATAATACAAGTTTATGTTTCTAGTTTTTGCAGCTGCTCCTGTCACAACTGCATCTTGTACACTCAACTCTGAGTGCCAATAAAACGCAATTGGTCTCAATTCGAGGTACTGATTTTTTAACCATACAGTATTCAATATAAAGGAATGTACATAATAAGTACGTAATAAAACAACTAATAGTAGTATATTATTCAAAAAATCTAATGTAGTTTTAATTTTAATTTACTACTATGATTTATTTATTTCGTATATTATTTAAATTCGCCCAACATATAAGAATATCTCGTGTTGGATGCGGTGTATATAGTAGAAATGATGCTAATAAGTTCGATGAGATAATCGTTTCATTTCGTTATGCGTATTATCGGATTAAATGTAGATTTGTTTAAAATCAAAATTGTTGTAAACGGAAACATATCAAGTTGATACCTATCTAAAGGAGACTTTTAAATTGTTACTAATATTAATTTAAAAAGCACAATGTTTATCACTAATTGAAATTTCGTAATCAGTAGTTACCTACCTTTTAAACTGATTTTAGCAATAATATAGCGTTTAAGAATATGATAAGTATGAAATATAATTTATGGAATTTTGTTAAAAAAAAGATGTATAATATTTTTATATACACGTTTTGTTAATAAATTTCAATTATTTAGTACTTACCTGTAAATATAAAGTTTAGATATTATTGTAAATAATTTGTTAGAATATTTTAAGGTGCGAGTATAACAAGGTGGGTATCTACAATTTTTTTTATTACATTCTATGTATTTATTATTCTTAAACATTTTTTATACTTAAAAATATATAATTTTGAAATTACTTTTCTTCTTTAATACATTTCGTAAAGTGCAGTTCTGTTATTACTGGTATTTCGTCTGTCAAACGGTTAATTTTTAAATCGGTAACTGTAACATTGAGTTGAATTTATACTCAATAAATCAGTTACTCATTCACTATTACCAATTAACCCCATCGATATGATCGGCGTAAATTAACAGGAAACGACTCGCCCTCGGACTTGGTGCATTACAATTTCCAACCGAATTTGAAATTCAAATTGAATAATTTTAAAGCAGCAACAAAATAGGTAATAAAGTTTCCTGCGTTTTCCTGACCGTAAAGTTGAGAGCCCCAACTAATTCAACTCCACACAATTCAGCGGGGCCTTATAAGCCGTAGAGATTTAATCACAGGGCCTTTGTCGGACCTTCTAATTAGATATAAAGAGAGGGCGTCTTTATTATTACATTTATTTTGATTGACTATGCTCAAGCATTGTTAATGAGTGACCTCAGAAGGAAATTTCTAATTGCATTAGGCATGCCGTCTTAACTTGCTACTTCTATGCCAACATGCTATTATTAAATTAAAAATAGAATAAATCTAATCCTAACAATTTACTACATAGTTTATGGAGAATAAATAAATTAGTTTCATAAAAATAAGTAGATATATTTACAGAGTGGGTGTGCACTTATGTATATTGTTCTATAAAATCACATAAAAATGTTTACCAAAATTCATGCAAGCAGATAACTTATTTGAATTCCTTCAAAGCATAAAGAAATTACATAAAAGTATGCAGGTAATTTTAAAAGAAGATTAAAATGTCACCTTTACAAAGCGTTTGATACCTACAATAAAAATAATACCATTGTAGGTAAATAAATAAAAAACTAATTGTTTTCACTAGTATCAAACTTTCACTACTTTACGGGCAGCTGCAGGTTTAGTTTGGAAATTCGAGAGGTCTGAAAAACAAAAATAGGCAAAAAAAAGCAGAAAGAAATTGACAAAGATATTTCAAGTGCCTATTAAAAATTAATATCCCAATTTGAATTTTCATCAGGAGGAATGTCATCATCATTAGGAAATTCATCAAAATTTGACGTATCCGAAGGGCTTCTAATAGTTTGCTGAATGGGTGCGGGTAATGTTTGGTTGATTAATCCATCCCAATCGAACCCTTGGAACCACCTATTACAATTTCAATTCATTAGTTATTATTTTCTGTGTACTCCATTTGAAAAAAAAAAAATATGAGTTACGACTTACTTATGTTTTTTAATATCTTGAATTCCGCCTCTTTGGCACCCCAATCTCTCGGAAGGCACATCTTTGCATAATTTTTTAATCAAACCTTGCGCTGTCCTCCCTACATTATACTTTGCAAAATCAATCATATCGATTCCTTTCAATATCAAATTGTAAGTATTCATCGGATCTGTAGACCTAAATGGTGGGCTGGAAATTATAAAAATCTCTCAGCTCTAGCTACAAATACAGTAGAATCAAAGCACTTACTTTCCCGTTAAAAGTTCATGCATTAGAATTCCTAATGCCCAAAAATCGACCGCCCTATCGTGACCTTTGTTCAAGATAACCTCGGGAGCCACGTATTCCGGGGTGCCGCAGAACGTCCACGTTTTACTGCTGTGGCACAGTTGCTTCGCGAAACCGAAATCTACCAATTTCACGTACCCTCTGGCATCCAGAAGGAGATTTTCAGGCTTCAAGTCCCTGTAGACGATTTCTCTAGCGTGCAAGTATTCGAAAGCTTCTATCACACAAGCCGTGATGAAACGCGTGGTGTGATCATCAAAACAGCTTCTATCTCTGAGTATTGTCCAAACTTCGCCTCCTAAACAGGCTTCTAAAAGCATGTACACGTATTTGGTGTCACGGAAACTCCTGTACAATCTACAAACGAAGATGAAATTAGTTGTTATTATTAAAATTTTGGGGTGTATCGTAATAATTACCTGCAAATAAATGGACTTCGACAACTCAGCATGATATTTCGTTCGCTTAATACGTGCTCTTGTTGTTGCGTGTCTACAATATGCTGCTTCTTCAGGCATTTCAAAGCGAATGTAAGCGAAGGATTGGAAATGTATTGAACCAATTCCACTCTTCCAAATCCTCCTATTCCCAGCGTTGCTATTACTTCTAAATCGTTCAGCGTTATAAATTCGTACTCTACGATGTAAAATAAAATTAATGTAATTGCATTTGAAGATGACAATGTTAACCTTGCTGTATTGTCGTAGCTGATGTTTTGCTTAATCTTTCCCCGTCGCCGTAGTCTTTTTCTCTTATTTCGCTTATATCGCCGATGAGTTGCTTAAATGAATCTCTATCGAGTGTTAAACACTCGACGCCAGGATGCAAGGCAATTATTGAAGCCGTTCGAAAGTCTTCCTTCAGAAGAGCCTGCTCGCCGAAATAATCGCCTCTTTGGAGAACGCGAATCTCATTTTCCTCTAATTGGCCTTAAATTTAAAACGTTATTTAATTTTTTCTATTCGACATATTTAAAGACGATATGGGTAAGTATAGTAAAAACAATTTTGACAATACCTGGTAATCTTTGAGTTACTTTCACGGATCCACTACTTATTATGAAAAATGTATCTCCACTTGCTCCTTGACGGATAATATAAGCACCTGCTGGATAAAACTCCTAAAATTAGAAAAGTTAAAAATTAAATAGGTTGATGGTATCAAATATTATCAATTTATTTGTCACTTTTCATTGGTTAATAACAGTGGTTAAAAATAATATTTAAAAATTTACGTTGGATGAAAATAAAAGAGAAAATCGATCAGCACATAAAATTTTAATACTTGAACTTTCGGTGAGGTCAAATTGGAGAACTGAAAAATGTATTTTTAATACAAGATTTGAGAGGTAGGCAAATGGAATGAAAACCTTTTTATTACTTAAAATGAATGTTCATTTGTAATTTATTTATTTTCAAAATTCAGGGCATAGAACTGACTGGACATCAAAATTTTAGATTAAAATTTAGTAAAATTACAACTTATAAATATTCTATAGGTACCTTCATAATAATGAATATAAAATTTTAGAAATGTAAATTACTCACTACTTCAAGGGAATCAGCAATTTTGGCCAAAACATCATTGTTGAGATTCTGTAGAAGAGGAACGGATTTCAAGAATTTGAGATTATCTTCCAGTCTTTGCAAACCGGTCCTCATCATTATCTGTTGAAAAACCTTCCTATCTAATATCCATACTTTAACGTCGGTAACAGCTGAAAATGTACTGGTTAAGTAAAAGAATCCCATTATTTCAACTATTTTAAATTCATTCGTTACATTTCATAAGACAAGTTATAGTGTATACTATTGGCTCATAGGCATAAACGAATTTGAGGAACTGAAAATAGTGCCAATTTTGCATTTCAATTTGCTTTATTTATCAAAATAAAAGCAAACATGATAATATTATCATTTACTTATTTACTCGAATAAGAGAATTCTGAATTTAAAGTGTGAATATTTTGTATTTACTGTCAGAAAAGAATTGGATAAACCGAACAGCTCATATGTACATATGCTCAATGAAAAAAAAGAAAGTGGTCGAAGTGAGGTTGAAATTTTTTTGTGAAAGATAAGTAAAAGCCATTATAATTATATTTTTTATATTTATATGTAGGTAGGTTTTTGAAATTATCATTCGAGTTCAAATAACAAACTGTTAGACAAACTTGTGTCTTTGGTAGGTCCCTATGAGGTAGCAAAACGTAGAAATATAATTTTATCTAATACGCTATTAAACCTGCTACTTGCTATTACATGCTAACATGCTATTAAAGTCAATAACATCATTAAAGTGGCATCGAATATTTGTTTGCAATTAAAATTCATCTAATAGTATCATGATCAAATTTACTCAATATTTGAAGTAGGTACACATTAGTATTTGTAGATATATTTAAAAGTAAACAAACTTGAAATAATATATGATTAAGGATAGTTATGTTTATAAATCGACAAAGTTTACGCTAAAGAAAACGAAATGTTTCAATCACAATTTCTATTTACTTAAATTATTATTTTCATGGTGAAATTTTTCACGGTTTTGCATTGGATAAATTCGTGTTAAAGTTTTCCATTAATTAAACTGATTAGATAAGAATGTTTAACTTATACGTCTATGACTTACCTCTTATTGATGCGGTTCTCGTGCAATTGTACAAAATAGCAAGTTCTCCGAACGCCTTTCCTGGCCCCATGAGGCCTAATACTTTGCTGTCTTTAATGATTTCGAAATCACCTTCGCCAGAAACGAACAAATGCACTCCTGCTTCTCCTTCTATGACCACCAACGAACCGGCTGAGTACTCCTTCGCATACATGGCGTCCACCATTTCTCGTACTTGAGATGTATCCAAATGCTTCAGGAAAGTGTTGTCCATTATAGCGCCTTTGATCAATTGCTTTGATCTGTAAGTTGTCAATCGGTTATTATTGATACCTACTGTAAATTCTAAACTAGCCGTTGAGTTACCTAAAATCTTTATCATGTTTCGTTATGGATATGTTAACAGCTTCGCCTGCAGCTTCGCTGGATTCGGCAGAAACCCCTTGTTTTTTGGAATGATTTCCGGGGTTGAGTGTGATAGTTTGAGGAACTCTGTTCGCCATAGCATGTTGCTTTTGTATGTTAGCAAGAAGTTCTCCATCTCTACTGACGTTTGTTTGTTGCAAAACGCTCTAAAATGTTCAATATATTTATGTAAATTGCACGCAATTGCTATTCACATCCAAATAGACAGATATTCATATAAAAACTTACTCTTAACTTATGCACTTCACGTTGTAATTTCAAGACTTGCGCTTCCTTGTTGTTCAAGTGTCTCCTAACGTCGATCAACTCGACTTGGGTAGATTCGTATTTGCTTTCCAAATCAACTATTTCGTGTTTCAACTTAGCCACTACAGCTCTCAGATATTCGTAATCCTCGTGATCGACCAAACTCTGTCGTTTCGACTCCAAGATCCTGGAAGTGCGTTGGATCTTCTGGAGCACCTCTTCGTCTACCGAGCTCTTTCTAATGCTGGCCGATCCGTTTCCCATCTGAGCCGGTTGAAGTATCCCGAAATCTTGCAGGAACTTTTGAGCCTCCTCTAACTTCTGCGTCGGTTGGTCTTCGTGGCTCAAAGACGTCTTGTATCTATGGTACTCGGGCTTGGCTTTAATTTCGGGATGGAAATTGGGCGGTGGTGATCGGCTCAGTTTTAAATTGCATTTGTTGCACTGATCGACGGGTAGTTCCACCGGTATGGGAAAGTTTATTTCGGGGTGACCCAAATAAACATTGGTTTTTACTACGTTGGATCCTTTTGATAATTTTGGAGTCAGGCAAATTTCTACACTTTTTGGACTATACCTGATAAATATTTAAAGATATTATACATTAAATGTTTTTTTATGTTAGTGAAAATTTAAAAAAAATGCTGCAATATTCGATTAAAATAAACAAATGATCAGTTTAATTTAATAATTTGTTATGGGACTTTCCACTAGTGATCAGTCACCCTGTAGATGTAACAAATATTCAACAATGAAAATAAAAGATATAAAACAATAAAAATAAGCCCTTAAGTAAATACAAATTTTCATTAACCGTGAATACGTAAATAATAATATCTATAAAGATAACATAAAGTGTAATACTTAAATGAAAACTTGAAGTACCGTTTACTATATTTACAATTTTTAAAACTTATGTAAGAGGAATTGTAAAGTAAATAATGTTACCTTGTTAGATCAGGATTAGAATATCGTTTGTCTAAATAAAAAACCGGCGAATTGGTCTCGTCCAAACTGAATTTGGTACTCTTCGGATGTTCCGCCGATTTGGAGTGCAAAAGAGTGCTATAATCGCTTTTGGAGTCCAAATTTTCACTACAACCACACTTGGCGTAAAAACTACCGCACGTGTGCGACTTTTTGAAAAACGTTCGTTGTTTTCCATTTTTAGTCGCATTGTTAACCAAATCTTTAGACGGCGGATCTTTTTGTGTGTGCATCAACATGTTGTCACCTTTGTATATGGAACTTGAACTTGAGGAATTATCTCGTCTTCTAATCGGATGGCGCGGCAAACAAAACCTCCGTCATCTGAAATATATAAATGTGGTAGTATGTTTTGAAAAATATACAGTTTATATTTAGTTCCAGTTGTATAATTTAATTTGAAATGCAAGTGCTATTGAATATTTTTCCATGCTGGATGTTGTTGTATTTTTGTTGCATATTTTCTAAAAAGCTTATCACGTCGAACTATGCGCGTTTGGAAAATTACGACTCTTGTTGGTTTTAATTAAAATGAAACGAACTGGTATGATTTACAATAAATTAAAAACATGATCTAATTATATCTTAGTTTGTATTTGATAAACAAATCACAAAATTTATCTACATTCATTAGTATTCTATAGGTTGTCTATTATTGAATGAAATTAGCACAACTAATGAAAATTTATTGTATGAATAATTTTGCCAAAACCATAATTACTTCTTTCAGACGTGAAAAATAGCTAAAATTACCTTTGGCAGGAACGTAATATAAATCAACTTGTAACTTGTAAAGGCGCATAATATCTTTTAGCTGCACAAGGCGACTAAATGGATATTCCTCAATTAATTCAGAATTCGAAATCAACCTGACTATATTGTTTATTCATAAACCTCGTAATATTTTGCATGATTATGAATTATTATTAAGTCAATGATAAGTAAACTTACTGGTTGACCAAACATTTCAAAATATGATTATGTATAGTTAAAGAAAATAACGTTGAGCATATGTGCACACTAACTTGTTATTAATGTAAATGCCTAGATCTAAAAATATTCCTATATAGCTTTTCTTCAACAGGTAGATTCCCAATACTTACATTAGGTAATAAAATAATTCGATTCAATAACTGGCTGATCAATATTTCCATATTTATACATACTCACAAAATATTACCTTCTAGTAGCTATTTTATTAAACCAGCCAGAGACAAACGTTGATAAAAGGTTTTAATGAGTTAGATTATACTTTTATGACGGCGCCCGATAACTACCGATCAATCTAACAAAGGAATGAAACAACTGCACCTGGTGGGTACTTAACTTACTTTCGTAACCAACTTTTTCAAAAAGCGATAACTGTTTAAATTGCACCGTAAACATCTGAAAAATAATTATATTTTCCGATTTGGATCTTCTTTATTGTGATAATTATTTTTCGAGCCGGTTAAATTTAGAAGGTATTGCGAATAAAAATTAAATTAAACGAGACGTTTATTTTTAGATAGATGGGTACTATGTAGAATTTATATGTTTAATATAAACTGTTTAAAGTTTCTTCAGGTATCAGATAAATGCGCTGTGAATTAATTAATTTAAAAAAATAATTTCTCATTATATGAATAAAAACGGAGACAATTCAATTCAATTTTCAGGCAAAATGAACTGTTAAAATTTGTTCAGAATATATCACGGACATTTCGCTGTATTCTTTTCAATTCCTGGTCTAAATAATTGGCAATTCTCCACAAATTTTTCGGTAATATGTATATTGGCCTGGCTTTCGAACAATTGTTATAAAGAGGCTCCCATCCATCTAAAAATAGAATTATTGGTGTCTCTCAATTTTTCAGGACGTTCTTAGTATTTACCAAAATAATGTACAATAAAATTAAAGAATATATTGTAGTTTCATTGTTCCTAGACATTTAGGTTGGATATACACAGATCAATATCCATTCTATTCATATGATTGATGGATATTATTTAGATAACGTAATACATAACGCATGTTATTGCATAGAAATGACTACGATAAAAATGTATAGTTATATTTTATATATTTTATAATACATTTAGCTATTAGAGAATAGGTAATGTAGTGTTAAAAATAATATAACTTCGTAAACAAAGTAAAACATTTTTAATGCACGTTTAAATTTAACAAAATCTTTATAAGAGTATATTTATATTTTAAAAGCATTTGTGTGTTTAAAAATATCAATCAATTATACAATATACTTCTTTCTCCTCCCGATTGAAAACGTTATATAGAAGGTTTCCCATAATTTCATTTTTTCTGACCTAAATTGTAGGTTATCTGTTTGCTCTTCGATATTAAAAACAAACAATTATATTCATACTTTTATCGTAAGTATTTAATAAAAAATACAATATTGGCCAGTAATAGATACTCACCTATATACCACATCAATAGAAAGTCTACTATGATTTATAATTGAGTCTTTATAATCCATGGACTATAGATAGATAAGATATTTTATTGGCAAAATACTGAAATTCATTATACTTGAACCGCAAAAATTAGTTTTAGCTTTATTTCTTCGTAATAGAATTAATGAAAGTTTCCAAAAATTTGAGATGTGATTGAACTCGATAGCTATTTTTATCTTGGGAAACATTTGTACAGAAATAATGGGGAAAAATAAAAATTTCCTAGTCACGGTCTCGGACCGTAAATTTACACAGTGTTTACAAACATCTAAACATCGTTTTAATTAAAAGATTCAAAGTTTAATATCGTCACTTTATATTTACATATATTGTTAATTTCTATTATCTAGATAGGTACTTAGCAATAAGCTGCATATACATAAGTATTGTAGTAGAATTGTTTATAAAAATTATGTTTAGATATTTCTAGCACGGTTTCTAAGGGAGGTCAATTTGAGAATAAATAATAAATAAGTTATTAATAAATAGCGCATATGTAATTTCTGGTTGACATTCGATAATCGTTGAAATTAGGTAAACTACTAACGAGAAATTTCAACCTATTATATCTACTAAAATATCGTATTTTAAAATGCTAAGTTATTTTTCTTTAGGTATCATTTAACAAACATAAAAACACTTATCTCTAAAGGTATGTACTTACAAATAATAATATGCATGTAACTTACCTCGGAATACTTAAAAATTTATCGACACTTCAAACACGATAGGTATCTAATTTAAATACCACTCTGCACTTCCCTAATCAAAATCCAAACAGACGCACAATAAACCAAGACTAATAAAATGTGTATCTCATACAAATTTGGTTCCTGCCAGATCAAGTGCAGAAAATCATATAGATATGTTTAAATTAAGCTAACTTAATATTGTCTAATTCGACAATTCTCGACGTCCTTGAGCCTCTCTCATTACGCTTTACATTATCACTGTAATCTTATCATTTATTTAAAAATGCTCAGATACAGACCGAATGTTTTTATTTATATCTTTCCAATTTCGATGGGATTGTAACGGGTAGAAGCCCGTGCGAATTCTTTTTATACCTACCGATTGTTAAGGGAAAATGTGGTATATCACCAATATCAGGCGCATGAGATTTCAATATTCGTATCAAACTCGCGGTCTCCCATCTGCCGATATTTAAAGATTTGATTTGATATCGATATATTCTGTGAAATCCACATTCGGCATTAGCGAGATATGATATTTAATTTTATTTATATGGGGATTTAATTATTGACGATAATGTGTTGATAATGCTGTTGAATAAAGCCCTAAAATTTAATTCTTTTTTGTTATTTTTTTGTGAAGAGATGAATATAGAACAATAAAATTTAAAATATTGTCGATTATCCTATTTAATAACACTGTTATTCACATACACATGTTATTGTACATACACCTTTATTTATATGTAGGTATTATAGGAATTAAAAAAAGGAAAGCGAACATAAATTTCATTTCCTTAAATCCTCTACTAACTAAACTTGAGCATTACGGATTTTTTTTTGCTAATTATTCAAAGTATTCGAGCGGAAAAGGTTTCGAAGTTCCCGTGTAACGAACCAGTGATGCGCATTAAGCGACGCATGGCGTCGCCGTCGGTTTCAGACGCCGGACAGTGGACGCTCAGACGAAATTAGTCATCCGCCGGCCTTTATGAAGATCAGTTATTTCTAAAGTTGATTAAATCGACCAACTAACTGTAAGTGCCATTTTATTTTATGCGATTGAAATTTTTACTTCGTAACAACTTCCGTTTGATCTAAATATTTGTAATTATTTGCGACTCTTCAATTCAGAAAAATATTGAATATGATAGAATTACTTACTGTAACTACATAGATTTCAAGCCAGAATAAAGGGCCCTTTTATAAAAACCCTATGAACTAAAAATAAACGGTATTAACAAAAGCGATATTGAGTTTCGGTAAAGTTATTTATAGCTTGACGCGTATTTAGAAATTTAAAATAATTATTCGAAACATTCGTTGCACTGCTGCTCGTGATTTGACTTATTTTCAGAATGTTTATATCTGTAACCGATAAGCCTATGAAAAATCTAGAAAACTCACTGGAAAATGTTTGTAGAACATTTAACTTCTTTGTATTACCATGAAAAACACGAACTGAATTAAAATATCTACTTTATACTAACAGAATGGAAATGATTTAATTAAAAATATGCATAAACGAATAGGTACCTACATCAATACTTTTTAATATTCCCGTTAATTTAAATAGAGGTATTCAAATTTCTGTAACAATTCCTCTAATATTCTGTGTTTATTGACAAAAATATATGACTAATTTCGCTTGGTTATGAGGAATGTCTAATAAAAAATCGTTGGGAAACACAAAGCGTGGGATCCTGCCACAAAATTCTGTCAGTGAAATATTTGCTAGACTCATTGCGAAATTATTAAGGAGTTGCAAGCATAAATTAGGACGAACTGGGCAGATGGTGAAAATTTTATGAACGAAAATTCTTGCGAGAATCATCAAATTTTTCTCGGCTATTCTCTCTTCTCTCGTAGTATGCAAATTTGAAGTTGATTTGGAATCATGCATTCGATGTTAATAATATATTAGGCTTATTGGATTTTTGAAAATCTTGGCATCGTTTCGATTTGTAAGTAAGAACAAATGGTTCCGTTCACACTCGTGTGGGTTTGAAATTCTACATGCGTAATTGTCTATTTTATACTCTATTTTGAAAATGAAAAAGCAATGTTCTATAATTATTTATCATTTGTCATTAATCGTGTTCTTCTTAGGAAATTTACAACTAGATAACTCTTTAACACGTGTAAGATTTTTATGTTGATGGTATTTGTTTTACTTAACTATATCTACTTTATCTTTTGCAAACACAGGTAATATTAATTTATAACTTCTTATTTATATTAAGTTCGAAATTTACTTTTAAAATTATGCATTAACTAATATTCAATCTACTACTTAAATACTTTGGAACCTTTCAGAAAATTCTCCGTTGTTCATAAATGAAAGACAATGAGTTTTGTGGATACTTTTCAGAAAATAATTTGAATATACTTTAAAATATAGAGTGATTTATGGGGAACATGTGGAAAGAACGTATTAATATTAGTCGAAACTTTCTCAACAACTTTATGCTCCTAGGAAGCTATAATTGCTATAATTTATTCTTGAACACGCATTTTTGGCACGGAGTTTCTTTAAAAGCAACAAGTGCAGCTTGTTTATTAGGCGATAAAGTTTAATTGACTACTTTTCATTTTTACTATTGTTATTCATTAAGTCCGGGCTCTTATCCAAATTAAAATAATAATAATTCCCCTTTTATTATACGTACCATTTTCACTTTCAGATATCCTAAAGTAGAAAAGGAACGCTGAGAAGCAGAAAATTAAATTGAGCAAAATGTCCAAATCACAAGTGGCTATCCCAGAAAATAAAACTGTGGCACTAGGTGAAGGAAACAGGGAAGAAGAAATCGAGGAAACTGAAGAAACAACATTATCAGAGGTAAATTAAAATTTATTGTCGTTAAAATATTAATGCAATCTTATTGATTTTTATAGAGGCATAAAGATCTCGGCCATACGAAAATATCGGAGAAGAAAGCGACATTCGATAGCACGATAAACAAATCAATTGTGGAAGATAACCGATCGCAGCAAGTCCATTCGACGAAGAACGTGATGCAGTCAGAGAATGTGGAAGTATCTGAAAACAAAAAGGTATTCAGTTCGCATTTCGAATCCTCGCAAAGTTTCGAATCCGAGGAATATGAAGAATACGAAATTCAAGGATGAGTTTGATTTAATTTTTATATGAATTACTACAACAGACATTTTTAAAGAATCCACTTATAATTCTTCTGTAAATAATTTAAGATTAGGAAACCCGTCATAATTTAAGCTTTTTAATCAATGTGGTACATTTATTTTCACTAGTAATAACAAATCGTACAGCTAAACACAAAATTTAAATAGAAATTTTTCTATAATTTCCGTGTAAACAATGTCAGTATCTTCAAATAATTTAAAAACTCTTATTATTTAGATATCTATTTAAAATACTATTTGTAGTTGAATGTGCTCGTCTTAATCAGTAAGACATCTCATCTTAAGTGGATCATCCTTAAAAATATCTATAATGTGAAGGAATACTTATAAATTCATTAAAAAATCAATTGACTGAAAAATTATTTACGTTTAGTATACATTATCTGGAGTTATATAGAACTGACGCTCGTCTTTGACTGTATCTTGGCATTTCTGGAATGTTTAAAAATACTTACCTTATTTTTGTCTTGTAACTTTAATCCAACTTTAATAAACGTTGTATTAAAAAGTTATTTCTTTGGTTTATTTCAGAACTGAGCTTCAAGAAGGTTAAAAATACAGTGCTTGTGGTAAATTGTTAAAATGTAGCATTAATTTCAATATTTTTATACTAGCAGCCTGTAGATACTAGAATTTTATATTTTTAAGTAGACATTTTAGAATTATCTTTGAACTATAGAAAATTTAGAATTTTCAAATATGTACGAATTTGATGATAAATGATAAGCAATGAAATGATTTGCTTCTTTTAAATTTTGCAAATTAGAGAAATTAGGCAGCATCCAGTTCTATATAGCTTTGCTTCATTCAATTCAATCTACACCACACTATTTCTAAACTTTTTGAAGCTTCAGTTACTCTCTACTTTTACACTATCCTTTTTTACACTTTTCACATCTATGTAATTATATGACAAAAAAATAATTAAAGAATTCAACAACTTAAAAAAATGCCTATTAGAAATAAGTCTAACTACTGTTAAATTCCATTAGTGAATTTTGTAAATTATAATGAAATCAAGTTAAATAATAATGATTAAAATTTACCTAAAAGGTGCAAAAATGTAAAAATTAGATAAAAAAATTGATCGATTATAAGTGATCATTATCTAATGTTCTGAAGAAGATAGTAAAAAAATGAATTACTTACCAATATATATTAAAACGAGTTATTTCTGCTAAAATTATAGGTAGGTACCTACGTCAATTCATTTATCTTCTCATTAATATTAACATACATAATACTTCTCTCTTGTACACTTGTACATTCTACTGCCTTCAAATATTTCTGTTTAAGTTATTTATACATCTTTAAAACTTTCTACCAGTTTGAATTCTACAAAATCTAACCTAATTAAGCTATTCTTTATAGCCGCAGTTAAACCAATAACATTGTATTGAGTAACTGAAGATGGCTCGATTTTAGCTCGATTAAATTCTATTGTTGTTGTTTCGATGTTACAGTTCAATCCTGGCGATTCAGCTAAAGCCATTTCAACCGAAGTATCTCAAACTCCCCTTTCTAATTTAGGATACGGTGCATTGGAACCACTAAAATCATTCGAACCACTCAAACCGTTTGCTCCATTAGAATTCGACGTACCAACGTCATTCGAACTGGTCAAAAACACCAACACGTTGTTACAAGAAGACAAAGATAAATATGCAGAAACTCAGAAGAAGCTCGTTATACCCGAAGTGCGAATTGACTCGCCCAAAGAACAATTCTCTGTTGAAACGAACGACAGAGTACCGGAATCGAACATGAACATATTTGCCGAATTGGGATATGTTCCCGTTCAACCGCTGGCTCCTTTGGATATCAACACTTTATTTTATCCAGTCGAAAGTCAACAGAATACCAACAAAACCGACTCGGAAATTAAAGACGGGAACATCAGAAATTCTCTCAAAGAAATTATTTCTGATTTGGACAACTACGTGGAGAAAAGCGAGAGTCTAGTGAGAGGTGTGGACGAGGGCTACTCACGCCTGAGGAACGAACGGGTGAGTTTTTTCGCACATTTAATTAGATAATAGATTTATTCACAAAGCAAGATCAATAAAATAATGGGTAGTCAATTATCGATATCATTAAATTGTAAATGTTTCCATTATCTAGCTCTGATCTATTCGTGATTACACTTATGCAATTAAATGCAAGATGAAGAAGTGTACAGTAAGTAGAAAAAAAGAGATTTTGAGTAAATAAATCAAAAGAGGTACACATAAGGTGACGTAGCTCTCCAACTATAATGTATTTGGATATGGTCCAGATACAAAACGAAATCCCTGCTGCTACCCGACCGATTTATTTCTGGACTTGTGTTTTGTTAAACATATAATTCTTACAAAACGTTTTTGCATCATTAAAATTAGCAGTAGTCGAAGCGGACTTTGTTGAAAAACTTTTGTTTTTCTTTGTGAATCGTGTCAGTGCTTCGATAAAAGTGATTTGTGATGTATGTAAATTCGTATGTAACGCGATCGAAGGAGTAATTTCGATAAAAATATTACCTAACGGATCTGATAAAAATGAATTTTACGATCGAATTACCTGTTTGGAAAACAAGTCGCTTGTGATTTTATCAAAGAAGTTTAAAAAGCTAATTTAAATAATATGGTAATTAAATAATTCGTGAGAGATGCAGTAACAGAAAATATGAAAGGGCAGTGGAGGGATGTGGAACAATTTAAAATATTAAATTCAAGGGTTTCAAGAAGTTTATTATTGAGAAGAAAAAGCTAGACTTTCGAAGAGATAAAATAATGAATAATTCAGCATTCAAATAAAATTATAATAGCGGTAGTAGCGGTAGATTGTCAATAGTGGCATTTTTATATTTTAATCCATCCTCCATTGAGGTGTCCTGGACTATTTGGGTTTTAGAACTTTAAGTTTTGAAGACTTTAATACATATAAAAATCGTAAAATATCCCCTTAATTCGGATATTTTTAATGGAAAAAGAATATAAATAAGTCAACAAGCTATCCCGTTGGAGTAAACACATTCTCTTCTGACCTTAAATAAAATATAACACGAAATTTTTATTTGAATTAAAACGAATCTCGATTTATTTTTAACATGCGCTTTGCTACACGTTGTTTCAATTTACAGCTGTGTGCTGTGTAAAAATTATAGCTGATGTGCTGTACGAGAAAATTTTATTCTGTAGGTACCTGCTCAAATTTCGGATAATTTGAACCAGTAAAATTTGTAGCAAAATAATAATACTTTTTCACCGTTCTATTTCTCTATAACTTTATTACTTTATTAGAAGTTCTACCTGGTAATTCTACCTTTCTTTCTTTCTTTCTTTCTTTCTTTCTTTCTTTCTTTCTTTCTTTCTTTCTTTCTTTCTTTCTTTCTTTCTTTCTTTCTTTCTTTCTTTCTTTCTTTCTTTCTTTCTTTCTTTCTTTCTTTCTTTCTTTCTTTAATGAAAATCTTTCTTCTGAAAATAAACAGTTTGACTTCATATTATACCAACAAGCCTTGTGAACAAGAGAATGTAGAACTGGATATATAAGGATGGATATAATGTGGATATAAGGTGTTTAGTCAAATCTCTAAATGTCATCACTAAAACTAGGGAAAAAAAGAATTAAATGAATACAAACCATTCATTCAAGCACTAACCTTAGAGATTTGCCAAACACCTACATTCATTTAATTGAACAATAGTACAAAAAATTGAATAATCGACAATGTTAAAAACGAATCAACAATGAGAATAATATCGAAAATAATCGATTCTAAAGCCGATAACCGAACATCGTCCTCTTATTCGTACTCCACCGAATCCTACAGCATAAATAAAACTTCGAGCGCCAAACATGTAACTTCATCGGCGCCATCGACGCCCAGCAGTGCGTGGCCTTTAAAATCATTCGATATACAAAAAAGTTCCAGCATTAGCGAGGTTCTGGAAGGAACCAGGGGATTTAAACCTTCCGATATGAAGGATCCTTCTACTAGTCAGTTCCTGCAAAGCCTGACTAAAAAGGTGTTCAAGGTGGGAATGGTACGTGCTTCTTAATTTTTATGCAAATTTCGGAATTGCTTCGAGTCGTTATCGTTCAAAGGCTAAAAACTTATTTTTTTGAAAAATCGATATTCAAGTGAGATTTTTTTAATGTCCCCCTCAAGCTTTTATTTTCATTAATTGTAATAAAGTATTGCAAATACTTCAATTATCACTGAGTTCACTATTACTTTGTTAATCATTTTTTAACTTGTGATATAATTACTTAAGCATTAAAAACGCATATAGGTATTTTCTAGAATTCAGAAGTTCACAAGGCAAAAAAATATTTTTTTATTATACACTTTACTCCTGTATACCTATATTCTTCTAAATATCTTTATCATAATTACATCTTTCAATACTTTCTCTTCCATAAAAATAATATGATTATGCTTGTTTTACAGAATGATTCTAATTTTCAATTAATTTATTATTTATTTATTTCTTAAATTCTAATTCATATGCCTATATTTCTCTCTCTAAATTTAACTACAGATATATGATAATTACTGAATAATCTATCCTAACTTATTCCAGATATTATTTAATACAATTAAAGTCAATAAAAATATTCCATATTACTTCATTATTCCAGGATGAAAATGCACCACCAAAACCAGTTAACCTCGAAAAAATTTTTACGCCTGCTGATGGAGAACAGATTAAACCCACCAAAAGTCGTAAGTGTAATGACATGGACTAATTGCTATTCAAAATTACAGTTTGAAATCAGCGGACATTTTACATGCCTTTCCATTTACCACAGGTAAAGTGTTCGCATCGTCGGCGTTTTATGAAAAAGGATTTCATCCCACAGTGGAAGACCAAATCAAGCTGGCACATAGAATTTCGAGTTCTCTGTCGGACATCAGTAATAAAAGCAGCAAAGGGCAATCAATGTACGTGAAAAGAATGAAGAGATCCGTTAAATGGGTTCACGAAGGTGAAGGTAAATAGTCAATAAATGTTATTAATCTCTTACTACGTGCATACTTTAGCTTCAAATCGTTTCAACAGTTTCGTATTGATACCGGCCCTGTTCGAATATGGCCGAACTCGAATTCCGTATCGGCTACGGAAGTAAAAAAAGAATTAATGTTGGCCCTATGCCCATTTATTTCGAATTGTGCAACCGTAGAATTAATAGCACTATAATTATCTTCAGATCATGTCTAGGTGTCTGTGCATCAAGCTGCAATTCGATTGAACTTTTTTTGTTTAAAACGTTAGAAAAAGTTAGTGGTATGTTCGTTTAGTGTATGTAAATTTTAGAAGGTAATAAGATTTTTGAGATAGCAAATCGGTAAAATGTATTCTTACAGGTCGTGGAGGATACAACGCGCAAGAATTGTTAAGCAATGGTTCGGAAAAACCGAAAGATCCGCTTAAGCTGGTTATGAACCCGCATGGGCAGGTTCACGACATAAATTCTTTAAGGAAACAAGGCTTCAACGTTGAATCGGCTCTCTCTCCGGAAATCGCTCAAGAAATTGTCCGAGGACTCAATTCGCCTAAAGGAAAAGGTGATGTTCGACATAATTATTTGCTGAATAAAAAAGAACCTTCTTAATTTAGGAGCTGAATTATTCGCAAAGAGACGAAAACGTTCGGAAAAGTGGGTAGTCGGAGAAACTAACGGCACCAGACAAACGCCTCTTGTACCCGAAATACCGCCAACTCCGGTACCGCAAATATCTCTCGTTCAACCACCGGCAAATACCAATCTACCACCACCCAGTTATCTACCCGAAACCGTCGAAAGACTTCAACACAAACAAAAATTGGACGATATACAGGTAAGGATCATCTTCAAGTAACAAAAAACGATTAAACCACTGAACTGTTTTCATGATTAGAACAAATTTAACCGACCTCGAGTGAAGCTGATAAAGTCACCTTGGGACGCTGCTCTGGAAACAGGCTCAGTTGACGCCGCTTTTGTGGAGGAGCCCACTTGGCCAACGAAAGGAAATTACGTCGCTCCTGCGGTGTCTTCGTACGAGACGGCTCTGAAGAGCGACAATCTCGCCAATTGGGCAATACCGAAGAACAACGAACAGAAAATGTATTCGCATAACGCCAATTACAACAGCAGCAGTATTAACAAAATCATCGACAGTTACCAGAAGGGCGTCAGCAACGTCGACGTGTACAAACCAACGATGCCTCAGGGATGGGCTACGCACAAACAGTTCGGTAAGTTGCTTTAGCAATTTTCAAAGCATTTTAGCAGTATTCTCAAAAAAGAAATATAGATGAAATTATAACGCACTATTGCCTCTAACGCTTAGCTTAGTAACTAACCCTTTCTCTTATACTATAGGTAGTCACCGTTACTGTCAGGTATCTACAAGAAAAATTCAGAAAAAGACGATTTCTAAGAACCCTCCAACAGCAGAAAATCCCAATTATTCTGAAAGTCCTGATTTGTTAAGCGAACCAAAACAAACTGAACCTAAAATAATAGAAACGCCGGACTTAAAAACTCCTGTACAACAAGAAGAAGTTGTTAATCCATTACTAACGTTAAATGGTACTATGGAAACTAAATGTACTGATGAAATAACCATAGAAGCAAATTTATTAAACAATGAAACTGTTCAACAATCTTTTAACGAGAAATCAGAAAATTTTAACAACAATTACCCCTACAAAATACCGAACATTTTTTCCTATTTGGATAAATCTAATGATTCCATATCCTACAGACCGACTTCTCCAAAAGCAACTACACCAAAAAGCGAATTCCCAAGCAAAAATGTGGAATTCAATTTTGCTTTACCCGACCTCACTTCAAGAGTTGTTGAAAATTCTTTTAGTAATACGACGAGAACAATCCAGTCGGAGATTTTCGAGAGTCAGGGACATTTTAATGCAAGCAGGTCTTGTTCGCCTTATCCGATTTATGTGCCCAAATACGAATACCCTCATGAGCCATCAATAAGCGAGTCATCTCAAACCGCAGATGATGAACATTCTTCGAAACTTATAATCGAACCACTCAAACATAAAGACCCGAAATATGAGGAACATGTTAAAAACTTTGCAATAAAAACTGATAGAGGCAAGGAAGGAATGATTTTGCTGCAAAAGGGTTGCTTCAACGAATTCAAAGAGAAGAAGATGAATAAAAACCAGAAAACTATAGACGAGTTTGTGGGAACAATACAAATTCATACAGGTGACGATGATGTAAAAGATGTAAAAGAGGAACGACCACAATCTTCAACTTTATCATTGGGAAATAATACTGGAGAAGAGATGAGAAACCAATTAGTGCAATCTTTCGATGACCCTATTTCATCTATGGAAATATCTAATGAAATAATATTGAGTCAAACCGAATTAAACCAGCAAAACAATGATTCTGCAAACAAAAAGCAAGAGTTGACTACTACTGCTAATGAAAGTGATAAAACTCTTCTAAATACTACAGAAACTAGCAGTAATATTTTAAAGCAGGAAAACATTATTACAACTGAGACTTTGTCTAGATCGACAAAGGAAAGCGAGCAGAATAAACTGGACAGAATTGGCAAACAAAGTGACAGAAAGTTCTCGCCTCCTGAACAACGAAAATTCAGAAAAGCTCCCGAAACAATAATCGGGGCGAAACCCGTTTTCGGACAGCTCGATATCAATTCTGAATTTCAAAAAGCTATTATGGGCAGACAGCAGGCCATTCAAGCTAAACGCCTCAAACAATCTTCCGGAATTGTGACGAGATCTAATGACAAAGATCCTTGCGTTAAATTTGAGAACGCCGAAACTGAAGTACATGAAGAAATCGGCCAAAATTCCAAATTATCAACGGAAGTTAAACGCACAGAAATCGCAGAAGTCGAAATGATTTACCCCAGCGAGCACGAAGAGATCGAAAAAATTAATTACGCCCAAGAGAGGGAAGTTCACATCGATTTTCAAAAGATCGGTGACGAAATTGTTTTTCCCTGTGACTTCTCCATACAGCCTCAAGCGTTTTCCAGTTTCCAAGAATTCATACAGAATCAACACCAATCCGATAGCAGCATCGAGACGGATCAAGAGGAATACAGGAAAATTCCGGTTAGATCCCTCATCCAAAGCTTCGAGCAATCCGTCAAACCTCACTTGAAATATAAGCAATTACGAGAAGATCTTCCTGATGTGGTGGAGAAATTGCTGCCTACGCAGCCACATAAAGATATGGTGGAGACATCTAGAGAAATGTCTGCAACAACGTATCATGTAGCGAACGTGGAAGTTATTTCCCAGTATTTTCCTCCTGACCAAAGCAGAATGCAAATTATCGAACCGTCCGAAAATAGCTCGTTTTGTAAATATTCTTCGTTAGAATCCACAACAAACGAGGACTCTGCGGCAGCAGGCAAGATATTCGTTGTATTTTTTTATTTGAAACCCCCTTGTCTTTACGTGGATTTAACATGTGTAAAGATGTTAATGTAGTATTTCCCTAGGTATTGCAATTACTGTTTCAAACTGTGCATGTTGTTTTCTTGTTATTCCAATTTTGTGGGTTTTCCTTTGAGTTACAGTTTACGATTATATTCCAACACTTAATTATCTTACAGGTTCAAACACTTTGCCAAGAACAAAATCCAAGAGTTACGAGGATTCGTATTACAAATCGCCAACGCCCATCATCAAAGAAACTGCAGCAGAAGAAGCAGTTTACGATAATTACCAATCGGAACCAAATTATGAACCGTCTTTGCTAATCAGGGAGACGCCGAAGCAATTCAAAAAATTGGATTTGAGTAATTGTCAAAACTACAATGTCGCGCCAAGGGCGTGGAATGAAGCCAAAAATTGTTACAAACCTATTGGAACCAGCCAGCCTCGAGAAATGTATTCTGATTTTTAAATGATGCATTATTATTTTTGTGTTGTTTGTATTTGTTTATTGTTTTGTTAGAGAAAGATTTATTTAGTGATGTTAAAATTTAAATGAATGGAAAATTTGCTTCTTTCCTCTATGGAATTAATTGATAATTGTGACGCATAAGATTTAAAGTAGAGAATAATTTCAATGCGCTATTTCTAAATTGTTATTTTGATCTTTCTCGTGCACTAATAAAATTGAATATTTATAAACAAGGTGTTCCAAATTTATCCTGATTGACAACGCTCATTCGATGTTATTTGCTTCTGTAATGCATCAAATGGTTTGGTAATAAATCAAATTGAAAATATTTGGACATACAGTTTCCTTCCTATAAAGTGGGTGTGAAATAATGTATACAAATCAGCAGATGAAAAAATTAAAAAGGATTAAATAATCCTAAAATTTTGGGTATATTCGGAACGCTTTGTGCAAAAGGTGACCTATTTATAAGAGTTTGTTACTTAGGTTTTAAACACAATTGTTTACGAAATTCAGGATGAATTTTCTTAAGTAGAAAGCAGTAGGGCTTACAGTGATAATTATAATTGTTATATGCTTTGTTAGAATCTACTGAATATTACGCAATATTAAAAAAATAAAAAAGATGCATTAATCCATTATTTGTTTTACTGTTTTATTTCAAGATTATTATTACTGTATTCCAATATATCGTCTTCAAAGTCGACGCTCCCATCCATCCAAATACCTGAGATAGGAACAAGTATTAATTAATTAATTAATTAAAGTATTATCCGTCCTAGGAAATGGATCAACAGATTATTACCTCGTTCCGCCGAGCCCATTGACATAATTATACATGAATAACTTTGATTACACTTCAAGAAAAAGCTTTTCTTAATTACTGTGTCAGAAATTAATGATACATAGGTATTAGGCCGTATTTAGACCCATTTAGAACGCTCCAAAAACATTAAGAACTGTCTAGAACAATCTGGAATGCTCCAGGAATATTAAAACAGTCTAGAACCATTTAAAACTGTCTAAAAACATTTAGAACACTCCAGAATCATCTAGAACTGTCTAGATCATCGTTTAGACTCGTTTCGAGTAGTTTGACGAAATCGCTAATCTCTATAGATGCTTCATTTTTATAAATACGGACTATTGTGAAGCAAGAGAGAATTAAAAACTAGAAAATAATACTTTCATACATTTATATTATCGAACTCTCTCTACATACAAGGTAAACATTAAAAATTAAAATAATCAGAACTGTCTTTAAATAGATTTCCCATTCAATTAAGCAAACTGTAGAAAATCCAAAAAATGTTTAAAATAACGTTAAAAATTTATAATATACTTTTTTATTTTAATTATAATATACTTTTATTTTTATTATTAAGACGCCACATGTTAAATGCGATTATTTAAAGTAATGGAATAGAACCAACAAAAAACTGAGAATTTTTTTATTAAGTACGACTACACGTTAAAGACGTAAAAGATACTACGTGGAAATAAATTTAATTTAAATAATTATACATTAAACAAACCAGCTTTAATATTAGAAACAGTAAGGTTTTTTTGTTTTATTTAACACCTTGTTTGCATCTATTTTGTTAATTCATTTACGTTGAAATGTTTGTTATTAATTGTTGTATGTACTGATAAAAGGTTTGATTTCAAAGTTTCAAATGATTGTTAAATTGTTTCAAAAGATATTTAACAAATTGCTACACATCTGTAACATGCATTAGAGTGTAGTTATTGCGTTATTGCGCAAAATAATAATGTTAAAAAATGTATTTAACAATGAGTAAAATAATAACAAAAGACTTGTACTGAAGTTAGTCAAAGTTCAGATTGTATCATCCATAGCATCTTTTACGTTATTTACCGTGGAAAAACTCGCCGACTATAACACATAAATACTACGTCAAAAAGAACCATTCGAATGATGGATTTCCGTAAAGATAGAAACAGTTTAATATATTACACATACAGAATGTTTCAGATAGCCATTTTGCATTTTATTTACAACAAAATAACACACTAATGGGACCACACAGCGGTAACATTTAAAATTAAATAACAAATATCCGATTTCCGTTACATTCAAATATATGAAACACACTGTAGTAAATAGAAATAGTCAACCTAGTATATAGTGTCGTCGTAACATGTATCTTACAGCCTAAATGGAAAATTAAAAATAAAAATGCCGAAATTTAAGGTAGGCGATAAAACGAATGTTTGGTGAAATTTTCCAAGCCACCTCAAAAGATTTACCTTAATCAATGACATATTGGCAAAGAAAAAAAAAAGAAAATTAGATGAATATACAATAGACAATATGAATTGAATAATAACCTTTAATAAATATTACACCAGTCAAACATTTAGTTGCTATCTTTTTTAAAAGTAGCTATTTTTGAATGTGACGGTAAGTGAAAAACATTTAGTGCACAAGTTTCTTTCTTAACGTTTTAAATCGTTGATGAATCAGTTGTCATTTTATTACAATCTCATTTTTTCCTTTCAATATAACATATGTTATAATTGATAAGAATAATTATTTACTCAAAAAGAGAATTTAAAGAAGTTAAACCGATTGACTTGACACCTATCGATTGAAAAACATTAAGAAAAAAAACAAATTTAATAAATTGCCATTTCCAACGAATAAAGTGAATATACCCTATTTCCAGAAATAACCTAAGCCAATGTCACTATCAAAAATTTCTACAGTACCGGATAAAATAATTTCATACCGGCGACTGGTCTATTTACAACAAGAAAGGTGTCCGAATCGGTTAGCGAACGGACGCGATTTCAGAGCGCGAATTTACCCAATATAATGCCTATGAAGCTCAGAAGTACCGCTAATCCTATGTAGACCATCGGAATCGTCTGTTCCTGTACAGGCGGAGCGTATCTGTTCACGGGAACCGAACGCATCTGACCCAGTTGCTGTTTCAACTGCAAAACCTCCTCTTTCAATCGTATATTTTGCTGTCTCAATTGACTTTCCTCTTCCCTCAATTGCTGAACCTAACAGAAAAATATACGTATATACAGATAGAATCGAGTTAGGATGCGAGAATTTTAAAAAATGAATTAATTGGGCATGCAGGTACATAGGGGCAGGTAAAAAAATTCGCTGATTACGAAAATCGACCTTTTTTCGCTAGCTAAATTAGTTTTTGTCCGTAAATCCAAATTAAAAAAGTAATATTTTTGACAGTTATCTAAATAAATTATTTGATGGACGTTGCCCGTTCGTTTGGTTTAAACGGAACCAACACCGAAATGACAGATTTTTTCGATTCTGAGAATTTCGCCGGTTTTAATGGACGAGAATAAAAGAAATTGCAATAATTCGCAAAAATAAAGGTTCCTTGGTCATTTGTACTTATCTAAAACCGAGAAACGATCAAATTATTTTTAAAAAAACCTACACTAATGACAGCGGCGATCGAACAAATTTCAAACTGTCAAACTTGTCATTTCCGTTAAAAAGGAATATGTTGACATTTAATTTGATGTACAGTGCTTTTATTAAGGAAATCGGAAAAATTGATATACGGAACGTTTTTTTTAATTTTAAGCGAAAAATTATTTTAAATTAAATTGAAATATAGTACAGGGCGACTCGTATTTAAGGAAATGTTAATTACATAAACCGAGCGAGCGAAGCGAGCGAGTATCTTATTACAAAACTCCTCATAAAATATGGCTAATACATAAACATTGCTTACTTCTTGAGCAGCCTTTTGTAGTTCCGATTCGATAGTGTTACTGCTTGCGGTTACATTAGCTACGGATGTCTTAGGGCTGAATTTGGAGGTATCATCGATCTGTTCGACCTGCTCGGCGGGCAAGTCGAAGACGCACTTCAATTTCGAATCCATCAATTGATCCGGCGTGATCTCTTTCCAAAGTTGCTCCATGTTGATCTCTCCGTCCGGCGCGAAAGCGGTTTGCACCATGAACTTGTGCTTGTTCTTCTCCGCGGGATCGAATGGGTGCGGTTGGAAGCATACTAAAAGTAATCGAATGGTTATTATTATGCATTGAATCCTATGCAATCGTGGAATAAAAGATTCATAGAGGTGAGTAAAGGCTCTTGCCTAGCGTTATAAACAACTTACTTGAGATTTCAGTGTTAGAATTGGGATCTAATACGCCGGAATTTGGACGAACGCAATACTTCTTCGGTGCTGTGGTTTTAATTTTAAACAGAACTTTCTTGTCTGTCGGGTTGGTAAGTTTCATATAAGAAGCAACAGGCTCGTTAAAAGGACCTGAAAGAACATGTCATATCAAAAAATACATTCTATTCAAAAAGAATGTTACAGATACATGAAATTTTGGCTGCGCTTGTAAGATATAAACCAACTTAATATCATTCCTAAACTATTGGCTAGAGGTATTTAATTATAAATTATATTACATAAATTTTTTAGCTACTTTCTATAGTGTACTTCGTAGATAATAAAATAAGTATTGTTTTATTGTACCAAAGAGGTCATTAATTGTAAAATCGCTAATAAAGTAGTTAAACGGTGGAGTTTGCACTACGTATGTTTTGGAAACACGATATTTATAAAGTACTTAGGGAATTATTCAAGGTAAGGAAAATGTCTTGCTACTTTGTAATGATATAAATGCTAATTTTATAATTTAGGTCACCTGGCTACTCAATGTAAAGAGAAGTGTTTAATATGATTTTGCTAACTCATCAAATTATTATCTACGTATTAAAATGTGTAGTTATCGAAAGTAAATGAATCTACTATGTGGATTAAATGTATTACCATCCATTACATTCTACTGTAGCCAGGTACTTATCTGCGTACAATTAATAGTAAAACTTTGAAAATTTAATCCAGCCTACATCGAAACGTTTAGATATGCATTATGACGATTACAAACTATTAATAAAAGGGGTATAACTACAAAATATATCACTTCCATGATCAGTGAGTAGGAAGTAGATTATAGAATACGTCAATACGTTAGGAGTGTACCTTTAAACCTAAGTTCATTTTGGGGTTCTATCTGTAACACTTGCTCTGGTTTAGACATTTTTTAACTCAACACTGAAAACTAAAACACAAAATGTACCCAATTTACTATTTTTTCTGTACTTTTTAATTTAATGACAGAACCCGGTTATACTGCACTTTTTACAATGCTCATTGCGCGTGCTTCGAAATATCAATGACATAATTGACGTCTATCAAACGTCAAGAAATGACGTATCAGTTTAAAAACGCGCCGAGGAAACAGGAAACCACGGCACGGTCGTATAATAAGAATAGGTCGGGCAACTCCACGGTTTGTTTATTATTATTATTTATTATTTTACAAACCGTGGGTTAAGGTGGCGTCCACGGTCGTATAAGAATAGGTCAGGCAACTCATCTTAAAATGTGTTGCGGATGATGTGACTCTCGACAGATGGCGCTAGTATCGGGTAGTGTTCTTTAATCCTACGTTTAAAATTCCAATTTTCCCTCATTCCACTATTTTGCCTTCCAAATTCCAAATATCATTCCATATTCGTTTATCGTACCAAAGTGTATTGAGAACCCTACCCGACACTAGCGTTCCTAGCGAATTTTTCGCAAAGTTTCCAGACCTACTAATACACGGCCGTGGTGGCGTCTCTTCGGTATTGTAGTAGAATCTAAGTCGATTATTATAATTCGTGTTTTGTATTTCTTTAATAAAAATCGTTCAAGGAGAATTAGTACTTCTGAGAAAGAGTACTACAGTTCAATTCATTGTTATTAAAATTTTAAATACGATATATGTAATAATAATAGCTTATTCGTGATACCAAAACGTTTAGCGAAATTGAAAGTTGGTAGATAGGCAACGCGTTTTACGTATTGCGTGTATGTTGGTTGCTTAATTAGCACGTTTCAAGAACATTCAATTTCCAAATATTTTCCCTTTCAATATCTAATTGATTAATTGCCAGGATATTAATAAATGTTCATGATATTAATATAGGTTTAAATACCGTAATAAATATATTTACATACTTATGTAATAGATTATTTTTTAAATAAATTAAATAATTTCTTATAGTTTATAAAATATTAATATTTTTAGGATAAAAGGTGAATAAATTATCATAAATTATTATAAATCATTAAAAGATATATTTTCTACCTTAATAGGATCGTGTACATATTAAATTTTAACTGAAACCTGCTAAAAATTAAAAAAAAATCCTTCAATATTAGTAAACAAAAAAATAGTTCGGTGAGGAAAATATGTGATATTTTACTAATTATAGAAGAAAATTAATAGGCTTTTAATGATAATTAGGCGCAAATTCCTTCGCTTTAGCGTAAATACTAAAACGTTTGACACCGCGGCTAAAGCAAAAATCGATAATAACGTCACAATTTCTTCTGCGGTGCGGTGGCTACAGTGTAAATAGGGTGGCACAAACGTAGACCGTAAACCGCGGAGTGCTTTAATCATGTTTCTCCTTCATTCTTTCGTATACATACTTCAAAGCCACTTCACTGTAGAGGATTTTTCTTTTTCGCCTGAAAAAATCTTATGTGAAAACGTAGGATAGGTAGGTATGTGTTTCCACTGAAATGGCTGAGCTGCCGATAAAAATTAATCAAGAAAGAAATATTGCGATTGGTTTTTGTATTCAAAATTTGAACATTGCGGAGACGGATTTTCCGAATATTTTTGGATCAAATTATGATTACATATCGAGAATTCCTATATATAAATTCTTCCATTTTTTGTTCTGTAATTCATTATCCTGATTCATTATTTTTTAGATAATCTTCATACCTGCTCTGAGAATATAATTCGTTACGTCTCGTTCGTATTAAATCTGTAATTATTTTATTTTATCTCTCCTTCGCTCTCGTTCGCTACAAAAATTGATAAACAAAGCTCATATTCGACGCTAGACACACAATCATGCATAAAATGTGTAATACGCTAAAATGTTTGCAGATACCCTAAAGCCATCACAACACACTAGTATTATAACCGTAGCTCAATATATTAAAATTAATACCTAACTGATACTCAAAATGCATAGTTACATATACTTGGTTTATTATAATTAACTAATGATCTATGCATATGAAGTACACATTCTATTACCTACTACTATACTACTTAGACTACATGGAGGATTTTTTAAATTATTTTTCTTGAATCATTTCAATGTTTCAAGTACAATATGCAACTCTTATTTATCGAATATACTCTTATTTATTGAATATACAATATAAATTCAACTTATCAAATCAGTTTGTTGATATAAAATGTGTTAAATTAGCACAACTATGAGCAATCTCTTGATGCCAGAATATTTCATTTATAACAGCTTTTTTTATCCGCATGAACTTTTGTATAATTTATATGGGTATTTTCGTAGGGGCTACCGTATTGCGAGCAAAGAGGAAAGCGAGAAGAAAAAGTTACATCTCTGGAGTACACAATTGCACTTTAAGTTACTTCGAGCGTCTGGTGACCGTAAAAGCGGCCCCATATCTTTTCCGTTCTAATGAATTTTTCATAATCCCTGAATAATTTTTCAGTCGAACGAATGACCGACTGCTTCGTTTCGCCTCGACACATAAAAAAATAGGCCTCGCTGAATTTCAAGGGTTACGTGATAAAGAGGATATGCCAATGCCCATTTTATTCGAATCGAGAAAATCGAATAAAATGAAACGACTACTCTTATTTTTAAATTATATTTTTTTAAATTATTAGCTTAATTAATTGTTTTATTTATCAATTACTAAATGTACATTAATTATTAAAAGATCCAACATAAAACCACCAAATTTCTACAAATACATACTTAAGGTATACCTACTTACACAAGTACTGAATGAAAATAAATTAAGCAGGTAAGTGGAACTTACATATGTTGGAAAATCAATTTTTCGTCAAACGAGAGAGTAGAAGATGCATGCTCGTTGTAAAAGGCACGCACACAATCCCATCAACTATCAACATTACCCAAGAGCGGCAAGTAAGACATAATAAGAAAAAAAAAACCTCAAATTCTCGGCGTATACACAAGATTTTGTAGGATTGCCAACGGCTTTTCCCGAAGCTTTTGTTGGAAATGAAACTGAAACATACATTTCAAGCCGCCCACAAAACAAAGCAAAACAGGGAATTAATTGTGAACAAGTAAGTTACCTATACTTATACTAGAAATCTGACGTGGATTATTTTGATTAAATTTTGCTTTCGGAATTAATATTGAAAGCTATCGTTAATACATACGCCTTATTCAGGCTGAGGCAGCAACTCTGGAAATGCTAGAAGTTTGAACCGCTCACCAGTTTTGGCAGAAATCAATTAAAAAATTTTATTTGCACAAACTCCTCCAAACGGTTCTAGAGCAATTACTCATTTATTCACAGTATTCATATTAACCCGCAAAATTCATATGATATTCATTTGATATTTAAAGACCTATGTTACGTATGGTATTTAAAAATATACTATTACAATAAGTTAAATTTATCATATCAACTATACGAGCAAAGCAACTAGAAGAACTGTACTAGTTTAAAGCTACCAAAATATCAATAATTCATTTCGGTTAGAGTTTAAAATATAAAGGGGTAATGCAAAATGGAGACTCGATATAGTATCGAGCTAAGTTTGTACAACACATAAATATGCTGGCAAATATTTATAAAGTAGATAGTTAGTGGTTTACCTGCTTTTCTTACACACATTACCATATACGTAGCTTATTTTAGTATTTTCCAATACGCATTCACATGAATGGGTGCTCAAATGAGTTATACAAAGTATAAATACGTGTTTTCAGTCGATTTTGTAGTTTGCATCGCAACCAAAAATACGATAATAGCCGCATGTAAATACTAAATCGATATAGAAAATAGACTACCATATATTATAGGGTATGAATGTTACGTGTCATGACTGATATAAGTATAAAATATTATTGCCTAAAAAGCTTAACACCTATATTTTCACGAAAACCCCACAAAGGATTAGAAAATTTTGTATTAGTCTGGTTTAAGACAAGCACCTTCATAGACATCATTTATTTATAGGTTTGAAACATATTTTGAATACATATAAATTAAAATGAATTTTTTTAATAACAAAATTCTATTATTCAATATGTAAAACTCTTTTGTTTATATCTTATTATGTATAATATCCTATATTTATTTAGCGAAATGAATTTTATTGGATGTAAAATGAAATATTTCAATAACACGCGTTTATTCTAGACGGCTACTTTGTTTATTTTTATATGAAAACACCCTCGTATTTTATACACGTTTCTATTTTTTGATTAAAATTTTATAAATAACACTTATCTGATCTTGTTCACGTCGAAACTTTAAAAAGAATGACTCTCTAAAATAGTCATTGGAGGTAATTAAAAACGTCACCCGTTGTGGTGAGAATTGTAAATAGAATCTACAAAATACTATAAAAATTGTTAGTGCTTTAAGTTTAATTTTACACGTATTTTCAATATTCATAAATTGCAATAATATCTATGCACAAATTTAAATACATTCGATCCACATCGAAACCCAACTCGCAAGGCCCAATATCATTTTTATACAAACACTTCCACCTGAACTTTAAACAAGATGAACTGTTACAATACTTTTTGTCGTAGCTTTAAAATACGATGAGATTTTCTTATTGACCTTTGCGGCGAAGTTGTTCATCCACGTTTTCGCCTGCTGCCGGTTCGCCAAAGCGTTTCTATTTTTAGTCCAGCTAAGAAACGTTCACGAGGTTTTGCTATTGATTACAGCAAACAAATAATAAAATCCTGCATTTAGCGGCCGTATTGCTTTCATTTAGAAATGAAGAAGAGATCGCAACAGAATTAGGTCTCTTTTTTAACGCTTCCCGTCGAACTTATGGGAAAAAGCGCTCGGATTTTTATCACCAGATCTGTTCTGAAATGCTCATAAAATTTAGATGATATTTGGTGGTGGTGGTAATATAATAATTGGAGAATTTATATGAAAATTTTTATACGAGTATATAGGGATTCAAAAGTATTAGGTTGGATTTACAATAGGTTTTAGCGTATAGCAGCTGATAGCATTGTGAAAGTCTGTGAATTTTCATTGTAAGAAATATTACGAAGATTATGGAATGGAAAAAAGCTTTTGAAATATAATTTTATATAGGTTCTTTTGTCCTGCCAGTCTCCACACTATAATAAATAAATTGAAAGTTTTCTTGTTGGATCTTTTTAGTTATCTCAGATAATTTCCAGTGATTCCTCCAACACCACAATAAGCTTGACTTAATCTATGGGCTTTACCAAACTGTGGTTAAAAGTATTTTAATGTTTGGAATAAAAGTGGTGTTAAATCCTATGCGGAGTTAAAATGTTTTTGGAAATAACTGCAAAATGGTATCTACTTAGTTAGAATTGGTTGATCTTCCTTAATGAAGGGCCATTTTCTTTATACCACATTTTTGCCTTATACCAACTCCACAAGAAGTAAACTGATAAAATCGATACGTGCACAAACAGTACAGTGTGGCACAGTGATTGAGTGTTTCATGTTGATACCGATCTAAAAATAGAAGAAGAAAACGATTCGCAAATGAGGAGACAGGCCGGCTAGTGCGGATGTTAAGGGTAATAAGGGCGCCGATTTCCGCAGAGGATGAATGAACGGCGGCGGTGAGAGATGCGTTGCTGCTGCAGTACGATATAACATAAGCGTGGCCCAGGTGGTCCGCATTGGGCGGCGCAGGCGCCCAACATCCCACGTCCCGTGTCTTTCGCCCGGACTTCAGTGCAGTGCACTATCCGCGTCGCGATGGGTCTCTTCTACTGCTGTCATCGCCGTCGCCGTCGACTTTAGCGCGTTTCTGCACCTGTTGGCTGTTGACGATCCGATCCGCCGGCTAAAGATGTTCCAAAAGCCGCTCCTGGATTCACCCGGCTGGATCCTCGGCAGGAAGAAAGAACTCGCAGTCGACCAGTGCTTATGAGAAGACTGTTCCTTTTTCGTCAATTTAAATAGTTTTTCATTCTTGCTCAAGATAGTTAGGCCATAGGTAAATACCATGTAATCGCACTTACCATCATATACATTTGGAGAACATGTTTCGTTATTTGAAAATTTATTTTTCTTTGCATATTTTGAAGGTGCTCATAAAAGCAGGCTCATAAAATCCATTATTCATCAGAATATTTTTAATACTATTATGTCTTATAAATTTTAGTAGAAAATAACAAAATTGCTTATTTTAAAATTGAATCATTAATATTTAGATTATCGGAAAATGAATGGAGCATTTAATTTATTTTCAATTCATACCTAGATACTCATATAAATTTTATAGGTATACTACCTAATACTATTTTAATTTAAATGTAATAATAAACGACTGTGGAGTTCTGATTAAATCGCGTTGGAATCATTTTGAAAATTGAACACTTAATAAACACAGTGAATGTATCAAAATCCAATTATTAACTAACGAAATTTGTTTAAAGAGTGAATACAAAAATATTTTTAATAAGTCAACGTTATTTGAATCAAAAAAATACATTTCAATCTTTCCGTGTAGATATGTAGCATATTTTATCAGTTAAAGTGAAATTGCATGGTACTTACTTGGAAAATTATTCATATTTTTTTATCTCTGGTTAAACAGTTCGGCTCATTCTTCCATTAGTAGTGTAAGTTGACGCATTATTATGGATCGTGCAGGAACATCTATACTCTATAGCAACAAAACCAACAGTAATCTTCCAAAGTTCCCTTCGGGGGCTAAGTTTTTTTTGATCGACGGTGATGATCAGTAGCCGCCATCATGACGATGTGGCAAAGTGGGATGGGGGGCCACGGGGGCAAAAACAACGCTTGGATGAAGCTGATGGGCATCGTGCACAAAGAGCGCCGTCATCACGACACCGGACCAGCTTCCACCGATAGAACATTGAGCCAGTAAGTTATTTTTATTTAAATTTTATTCCGATTAATTCCGGATGGCATGCTTAAACATGTACTATATGTACTAAAAAGTACCCTAAATTATCCCGAAAAGGACGATTTTTACAAACGGATTTTGTGGCAATTTATTCTAGATTTTAGTGGACATAGGTAGTTAATGTAATACTATTGTTCCGCAGGAAACAAGTGCTTAGAGTTCGATTTATTCCAACAAAAATTAACGATTTTCCTGCGAAGCAGGTTAAATTACTAAACCAAAAGTAGCAGAGTACACATTTGTTTAGGATAAAATGGATGAGTGCTTTGGACACGTTCCTTAACTTTTCTCATAAAATTTGAAGATGCTATGAATAACTAGATAAATTAATAAACGTGACAACTATCTTTATGTTAGTAAAAAAATATCTTCTTGTTTATAATAAACCTATTTTTATTAATTTATTTTTATTAATTTATTCTTTTAAACACCTACTTTTGTCTCTTTGATATACCCACGCATATACCTGATTCTTTGCATACAATTCTCGATATAAATTCGTTAAATTAAACTACATTAAACTTTACTGATGGTTTCCAAACTAGTTTTATAACTATAACTACATTAGAATTATGTGCACATGTTTTGCAATAAATTATAACATCTACATACTTATAATTAGTTTCCTTTACTTTGTTATGATGATGAGATTTATGAAAAATATACATTCTCAATTTCCTAAAATTTATCCAGAATAAGCCTTGTGACAAAGTTCTAAAATCTTTCTAATCGATGTTAAATTATCCAGAAAAAGTCAATCCTAAATATTAAAATCCTAAAAGCACTCAGAAAATAATTCAATGAGTCCCTATTCTACCTTAAAAACGTGCCAGAATCGTTAAAAAAGAGGGACCCATATACATATTCTTTGATTAATGTATCTGATGTATTTTCTCGGAAGCTTCATTGTATCGTATTTTCAGGCAATATTACATTAGGGACTACATATAATTAGCTTGGAAAATCGCATAAGTGAGTCTTAATGGTCGCAGTTACGTATGTACGTTTAGACATGGGAAAACTAATGATTTTATTATGATGAAATATTGTCGAAAATACCACACAAGTACTTACTTCTGTTTCAAACATGACTAAATATAGACATTATACATAATATGTATAGGTACATCGCATTCGGTATATAAATACAAAATACCTCAGATATTAAACCTGATAATAATGATACATTTATTTAAATATGTTGTTAAATACACACAATAAACTGTTTTGACAAGATTTAGATATTGTATGATTATTTCTTTATTCATAGTTCTGTAGTGCATTATTCACTATGTTAATGGAACAATAATTGTAATATTTTCTGACAAGTACCTATGCCCAATTTATAAAAAAAAACTGGTATTAAAAATCTTTTCGACTCATAGACAAATCATATCAATAGCCTGTTTTTCCATAACAATGTATAATTTTTAGCTTAGAATTAAATTATCTAATAAAATTATTGATTATCTTTGAAGTAAAGTAAAGTAAAGAAGTACAAGATTTCAGTAAAGGAATCTTGTATTTAATATTACAATTGTATGATTTAAAATTAAAATTGATTGATTTTCAATTAACAAAAAGAGAATACCTTGAAGATATTTTATGGGTTAAATGGAAATGAAATTTCGTGGAAATGTGCTCCTTCAGCTTTCTCTCACCGAATAATTAGAAAATACCATCCATGGGAGCTATAAACCTTCTAAGTATTCGATAAATTGAACGAATGACCTGTAAGAGACTCGAAGTTTCTTTATGTGTTGTAATCATAGTAAATTCTATTTCATATGCACCAATAGTAAAGCTCCTAGGATAGAAAATTTTATGAAGCAATTTCAATTTTTCAAATATGCTTAAAATGATTTTATTTTAGAATTCATTCGTTCCTCGATCCAGCAATATTTGTAGCATTAAGTGAGCAGCAACAGATTTTCCACGCGCAAGCGACGGTAAACCGAGTATTTTTCCAGATTTATGGTCAATAAAAGCGAACACTTCAACAAAAGTTCATTTATGTCACAAACATCCTACCATAGACACATTTTCCCAATTTACAACTAGTCATGACTCCTTTTAATAAGCTCAAAACGATACGATTCCCGTAATACGAGTATTATGAAAGTTTTTGTGGTAATAAATATCGTTCGTAACGAATATAATATTGATGTAAAATTATATTTTAATATTTACATTAGGTACCATATTTGCTTAACAATAACTGTGTGTATTTTTCTAATTAAATTCATTCTTGCACAAATATTTTTTCATTCATATTTAACTGTGCTGAAATTTTCATTAAATCTACTCCTTTTGTCACTTCTTCTATCTTACTGCATTCAAAAACGTATTCAAACAAAAATAATTCTTCGCAGATGACAAATTCTAATTATTCTCCAGCTTAGCATTAAGAAGCATCGCTTGATTTATAAATGCTAGTTAATATGATAATCTTCTTTTACAGCGAGGAAAATTTTATAGTGCATCAATCTTTTATATTTAACAAGCAATGGTGTCAACTCGTTTTAACTTAAATCATTAAAAATGAATAAGTATTGTTTAAATTTATTTTCAATATTAATTAACGCTATATGATAAAAGATAGTGAATATTCTAAAATAAAATACCAATCAATTTCACCACTATTTTGGTTACTTTCGTTAAAAAATATCCGAATAATTTTTATTTTAGTTGGTTTTAGTTTTGCTTAGTATTTAGTTTTATTAGTAAGTATATTGCATCAGATCTTGCAATGTTGCAATTTATATTAAAAATGATGTTTTCTCAGGCAGTAAAATGTACTCTTACTATATCGAAGTTCGCTTATACCATTAATCTTGTTGAAGAGACAAGTACACAATCAATTTTCTGGATAGAGTTTCAGTTTTTCTTCTCAGACTTGAAAGGAAGTAACGCATTAATTTCAAAATAATGTCGTTGCGAAACAACCGCATTGTTTTAATTCATTGAAATATGTACAAAATCAATTTAATTTAAAGTGCGACGGTATAATGAAAGTATAAAGTATGTATACAGTATGACAATTTAAAAACTTATATCCCCGAAACGAGGCACGATATCAAAAAATGCATAAAATCGTTTCTATGATATAAAGGGGGAACTAAATTGACATAAAAAAGAATTCACCCCCATTGACCCCCTAAGCCCTACGTACCCCAACTCTAGAAATTTAAATTGCAATATTCATCACAAAACGCCAGTGTTTGAAAAACTCTTATAAAAACCATACTTCGAAATATCCAATGAAGGAAATACGTTTTATTTCAAGAAAAGTATGCCCAATAGAACTTGATATACGGCTACAAGAAGCTATATGGCCTTTCGTGTAGGTTAGTAACGAAAACCGTTGATTACGATCTCCAGTCCGGCTTAATAAAATATCGCTGTTACGGTTTTCGTGAATTTTAATTGCCTCTAGATTAACAAACGATTACTTATGCCCAGAGAAAAATAGAATTTTCTTATAGGATATTTGAAAAATAAAAAATATTTCTTCAACAAAAAATTAATTGACATTCCTTACTTACATAGGCTCAAAATTTATATATTTTTACACTTAAAAAATATTATATGATCTGAATTAGCATCATCTCCTCAATTCACAACCCATTATTTTCATTCTTGGAGTTACAAAAAACTATTACAAAGGATGCTCTTTCAGATTATAAAATAAAAACTTTTCAAAATCGGTCGTTTATAGGCATCCTAAATTTATTCATCCCACAAATTGCCCAAATCAATTAAGATTCGACGTCTTAATAAAAAGACATTGTTGGTTGCGATAGGACGGTGTTTTCCTCCTTCCGTCGACTCCGGTATTCGAAAGCCGGCGAAAATTAAAGCGCCCTTAATAAAGGTAATTTCATTTAAAACAAAGAGAAACAATTTAACTTCGGCGTGGAATTAATTCGAGCGCCGTTCAGTAGGTTGAACAGTTTCAATGCATTCAATGAAAGGTGTACATGAAACAGTCACCTCAGTGATGTACTGACTGATCAATAATTCTGTTTAGAGAGAGAGACGGATTTATCGTGAATAGTATACTCGCATTTAATGTTAATTTCCATGTACAAAAATTATTTATCTAGGTGCAAAGGAAATAACAAAATTCATGTTTTTCCAATGGCACTATTAACGAGTGATGTGCTGCTCCGTGATATCTGCAGCGTTGCTGAAAACGGTCAATTTGAAATTCAGAAAGGCTAAATTACCCTCGACACTTGAGCCGATTGATATTCGCGCTCGGATTCCCGTTTTTATCGAAAAATCGACGCCTCTCTTTGCCTGTTTCGAACGTTTTGATCAATACAAACAGGAAGTCCCTAATCTGCAAGCAGACGAGATATTTGCAGATTGTTACTCGATTTTCAACGGAGTTTAAGTCACGTTCAGGCTCCCATTTTTCATTCAGAATGAAATATTCGTTCGTCATTTTCCGCTCATGATTAATGTTCAAACAATTATTCCGTCGATCTCGACGAGGCTTAAAGTGAAGATGTGATCGAAGAAAACCAATTAATCTGATAAATCTCGATCATTTATTTAACTGTTCAATAATTTCTGGTCTTTCAATCGATCGCTTGCTTCGGAAGCTCTGTTCGTTCGTAATTTATTAGTTTCCACTCTAGCAAAGTTAGCATTCCTGCATTGTTGAAACACTTACATTGAGCCATACTGTAATAATATCTATTAATGGATCCGAAAATTGTAAATATAATAAAAAATTAATAGTGTATCATTCGCGTCGAGGGTATTTCCACTATACGATATGTCCGATTCCATACTTTTGATGGCAACAAGAGAAATATCTGTTTGTATGTAATTATATCTTATTTGCTTTTCTCTTTCCACAAGCGAAGCGTAGCCGGGCTAACGTTTTGTAGAAATTCGTAGTGTTAGTATATTTTCATTTACTTACATTGCGTGCGATTATAGAAGT